TTACACTTACACTCAATGAATATCAATTAACATTAAATACACACACTTTCACTAATTTATTAATTCCATGCATTTGCATAATTTCGTAATTTGCATATCACACATTTGCATGTTTTCCAAGTTTTTTCTTTAAAAAAACACATTTCACAACACAATATCTCCAACAGTATCAAAGGCCGCTGATACGGGAAATATAACAAGGGTTGAAATACAGCCCCTGTCCATTTCCATGAGGAGTTCGTTTGCCACTCAAACCAAGGCGGACTCAGTTCCAGGCTGGGCCCTGAAGCTTGATTGAGTGACATCAAAGAAGCACTTGGCTTCAAGATATGAATCCAAATGGGAGGAGACCACCCTTTATAAAATCTTCAGAAAATGAGAATATTGGATATCGGGCGATAGTTAGCCAGAGAATACTCCTTCTGAAAGGGAAGCATTGACCAATTCGGTCACCATTGGCATTACTGGCTCAAAGGCCTCCTAATTCCCAAAGTGGTCCATTTCATCCCCGCAGTAGTCTGGATGAGGTCTGCAGGTAGGACTGGTAAAAAAGACTCAAAGATGAAAGGAGCCCTTGAGTCCAAGCAAGGATCAGGAATAATTGCTGGGCAGATAACCTCTCTAATGCAATCGATCTTCTTAGCAAAGAACCGATGGAAATATTTACAGCACTCTTCAGAAGGAGCAATCTATGTGGATGTACAGCCTGGGTGAATAAACTGTTGACCAAACTGAACAGCTCAGCACTGTGGTTCTTTGCCAAGTCAATCCTCATGGCGACGTTTTTTTTCTTTGCCACAAAATTAGCCCGTGTGTAAGCCCGTTTACAGCTTCGTCGATTTATTCGATCATCGAGCTGAGATATGCGCCAGCATTGTTCCATTTTCCTAAGTGGTACTTTTAGGGCCCTGAGGTCTCTAGAATACCAGGTGGGGGGGGGGGTGCTCGTGGAAACTTATACATGAAGATGGCGGTGAGCAGCAAGATCATGGATAGCAGTATGGAGCACTGAATTATACTCATCAACCCTTTCATTGATGGTACCACTGTCACAGTAAAAGGAAATATGGGCTGATAAGGCGTCATGAAATCCAGAAGGGGTCATTTGCCTTTTGGGCCGAACCCAGCCTCCCTGAACTCCCCCAGACTGTCGGATACGGGTGGGGAGACTCTTGATCTCAGCAATTATCATCCTGTGATCAGTCCATAGCGCAGACGAAAATTGTATGGCCCAAACTGAGACCCTCTGGGCGAATACTAGGTTGATCATGTGGCCGTCATGATGGGTTGGGTCCTGAATAAACTGAGTAAATCCCATGGAACCCATGGTATCCAAAAGGTCTGTAGCCAAACTATTAGATGGGTCATACATCCATGTGTTGAAATCTCCCATCACAATTCTGCTAGGGAATTCCAGGAACAAGGGAGAGATTACCTCAGACAGCTGAGACGTAAAATCACCTTTGCTTCCAAGTGGTCTATAAACAAGGGTGAAATACAAGCCCTGATTCTCGTTCATGGCACAACGCACAAACGTGAATTCAAATGCCCATTGTGCCATTGTTTCCCATGATCAATCATATACTATCGCCAGTAGGAAGCCCACAGCTTCAGCTGCCAACTGAAAACACCACATCTTTGAGCAGGAGATATTCACCATTCTGGACAGCCCAGACAACCTACTAGCCTGGTTTATCCGTGTTGGTGTCTCGATATGTTGCCGGCCCATTGCCCAGCTATTTCATTTATTTCTCTCCTCCTCGACTGTTCTTGAGCAGTGGAAGTGAACCTCAATCAATCCTATACCTAAGATGTCCACCGCTGTTAGCCGTTCGACTTCAGACCAATATCCATCCCTTCTGTTTATTCCAGGATGCTTGAAAGGATTGTTGTAAGGACATTCATCTATCCCATTCTGCGTAAACCCACCACCATCCTTGACTTTCTGTGATCAATTTTCCTTCCGCCCTTTAGGCTCCACCACTGCTGCCATCATCAATATACTCTAGACCGTTGCTGTCACGCTCACCACAAATGAGTACGTTCGAGTCATCTGCCTGGACTTCAACAAAGCCTTTGACACTGTCCGTCATGCTTGTTTACTTGAGAAACTCTCAATCGTTAACGTTCCGAACAACATCTATAACGGAGCAGTTTCATTTCTCAATAACCATTCTCATTGCACCAAGTTTGTGAATGAGACTTCTGAGTATGCTGCGATCAATGCCAGTGTAATCCAGGGGTCAGCGGTTGGCCCTGCAGGCAGGCTTTATCATCACTGCCACTGACCTACAACCGAGAACTATTGGCGATGTAATCGTTAAATTCCCACGCGACAATCTATTTAATTATTCCAGGATCCAATTTTTGCACCACCTTCCGAAGAAATCGACCACATTCAGAAGTGGGCCATTTGAAATGACATCACACTCAATAAAGTCCACAGAATTGATCTTCAGGCCAAAAGGTAGACAAGGCACTCCTGCAGCATCAACCACATCCCTGATCCACCTCTCCTTCAATTTATCAAGAGAGGCGGTGATGAAATATTTGGGTGTGGTCATCACCAGTAACTTTTCAATGCCCCCCCATATTTCCTCTGTACTTGCGTCCTGTGCTCGTACTTTTTATGCCTAACGCATATTACGAGCGCACGGAATGCCGCAAAGCTGCATTTATACTGTTTACGCCTCAACCATTATTGCTAACATGAGCTACAGCTCTCCAGCATAGTGGGAATTTACCACCGCGGCTGAGCATGATCGGCTTGAGTCAGTTCTACGCCGCAGCAAAATAGCGGTGTTCTGTGCACCTAGTCGCTGATTGGTCCATTTTCACCCATCATTCTATCTAATCGGCACAGTGTTCTCCACCCATTTCTCCTCCCCAAAATCAAAATAACGTATTATCACTTGCATTTGCAGCCGCACGACCATGCATTACCACATTATACGTCTTTACTAGGGGACCAGCTCTTCATAGTTCATATGCTTTATTTTCATTGTTAGTAATCTCGATTTCTTGATTGTGCCTACATCCATTGATGTTTGCATTTTATTGTTTAGAACAGCACTATCTGACCCCCTCCCCCTTCTGTTTCCCCCCTTTGGCGACATGTTGCAGCCCTTTCCACCTTTCCTGAAATTATGTACGCAGCCATTGAGTGTCAGCTACTCTGACTCACTTGAGCGTGAATGTGTGAATAAACGATTTATATATTATATATCGGACCAGTGTCACGTGGAATGGAAAATCACCGATTAACAAGCCGGAACGTGACAATAAGACATCTCTGCGTGGGAACTCGCGTAGCATGGAAGGCAAACTCGTGTGTAAATAGCATGTGTTTTCATAGATAAGAAAACATTAACAATTAAAAAGGAGAACCCAGCATTTACGGAACCACAATGACTATCACGTCAACCTGGCATCTGCAACTCATTTCAATGTTTGCATAACAGCAGCAACAACAACAACCATAGTCCCGCGCTATTATCACGGTTGGCTACGTACGGTGTGAAAGAAGTTCAATACACATATATACAGCAACGACGTGTATTTGGTTATGATGCTTCTGTTGCATTGGCAGTGATGCATAAGCATAAATATCAACACTCAACACATTCATTAAAAACTGTGTGTGTGACCTTAAAGGAAAGTATTTACACGAATGTCACCTGTTATATATAGTGTCCTTGTAAGGACACAGGGTTATCAACAAACACAAGTTCTTTGTGTTCAGGAACGAGTTCCGTGGACAAGGCAGCCGCATAACAAGGCCGGGGGCTCGAGAGGCTGCAGCCCATGCAGTGGCGTCACTAGGATTGGTGTCACCCAGTGCGGTAACTCATGGTGCTACCCCTCATAGACCTCTGCCCGTACCAGACCATACAAAATCCTTAGCAATGTTTTGTTCTACTAATGTTACCCATAAATCGTAATTCCCGTATATCACTGAATGTAATGTCAATAGTAGTAACAAAAAAACAAATGGCAAAATTCAAATTACAGCTTTAACTTACAATATTTCCTTTAATTACTACTTCATTCTCAAAAAAGTTATTGATATAAGTTCACAAATATTAATTAACACGATATTGTAGCTAAAACACCAGAAAATTTGACAAAATCAGCGACTATAAAAACACCAGCAGCAACAAAAACAGCGCGTGCTTGTCGCGCGTGCAGACGAAACCACGTGACTCGAACCGTCATTGTAATTGGGTAATAATGACAGTTCTTACCGGAACGCATTAGAAGGTTCAAAAAGTAAATTAGCATAGAATTTTAGCCTTGTAGGTATATTGTACATGTAAGCTGGGCTTAGTTATAACAACGAAAACATTTTTTGTTGTTGTTATAACTAACTACAGGGATATTTTTTATAAAAAAAATGTATGATGAAAATTGTATAGACAGTCATTTTGGTGTCACCCGGTGCAATCCGCACCCCGCCAGTGATGCCACTGAGCCCAGGGCCTTTGGATGTTAAGGGTCCCCAAAAAATCACTCCGAGTGCTTTATAAAGGTTAAAGTGCAGTGATTATGCAGTACGATCGAAAACCAAAGGTAATACTGCAAGCTAAAGCATACCTGTGTGTTTTATACTTCCAGTTGCATTCCTAAATTCATATGGTTTTATTTGTTTCAACTTAAATGTAGCATAAGAGTACATCACGTTTAAAAATAATAACATTGAAGGCAAGGAATTGTAGATACAACGATGGATGTCCCAAAATCTATAACAGCGCTGGTCACCCATCAATTATATTTCATCCGTGTCAATGGGCGTATAACGGTGGAGCGGTTGCGCAGTGGTAAGTGCCCTTGAACTACAAAGCAGGCAACCGGGGTTCGATTCCCTGACCTTGGCTTATCAGAGTGGTGATATCTGAACCAGCCATGTACCCCCACTACCCACCACTTACCTCCCACCTGTCATCAATCCGCACTGACCTGCAGGATGATGTTACGGTTAGATAACCCCCCCCCCCCCCCCCCCCCCCCAAGTGAGAGGCCACTACTCGTGCATATTCACCGCCTGTGTGCGGAACAGAGACGCCGCTTCTTAACTCAGAGCGCACGGACACCGTATTTTTTAACACGAAGTCTCACGCGTCACGAGCCGTGCTTGTCCGACCTCTCCCTGATTCGACCATACTACTGCCTAAATGTACAGCACTACACATAACACTGAACTGTGGATGAGATATTTCGTCATCCTTGCTCTCAAGATCGCAATAAGGTTACATGGGTACAAGTCTGACTCGACTTATTCAATTACAAGTAGCATTCACAATAAGGCAAGTGGAAAGCTTCGTTGTTAACTAGGCCTCGTATTTATCATAACAATTTAACAGCATTATAACGGCCATTGTAACATTATAACAGCATTCCCAGTATTATAAAAACATAAACGAACTTACAGCCAATGCTTCTTAAAGTCCCACAATGAACAGATGCAGCTGTCTCCACTGAGACGCTATTTGTGCCACCATTTTGTACTCTGTGTAATGGCTGATACCCTGCCGCATGGCTCAGAGGATGTAAAATCGTAACTTCCTGGTCACGTGACCAAACTCAACATCCAAACAGGAAATTCCGGTGTACACACACACCCACACCTGTCGTGAGGCAGAACATAGCGAGTTGGTTACGCTCGACATTCTGGGACCCTTCCCGGCCAAGCAGAGAGGGAATACATTTCTCCTGGTAGGGGTGGAATATTTATCCTGGTGGTCGATGGCCTGGCCATTGCCCGACCAACCGGCCGCTTCCATTGCTGATGCATTTGTGCACGGCTACGTAATGGATAAGGGGACCCCCGAGCAGCTTCTCACGGATCAGGGACGGAATTTCTCATCGAAGCTGCTGCACGAAGTATGTGACGTTCTAGGCACTAAGAAAATTAGAACGTCACCATACCATCCCCCAACGGATAGTATGGTGGAATGCCTGCATAGAATCCTGACATCCATGCTCTGTCAGGCGGTTAGTGGGGCTCAAACGGATTGGGATCTGCATGTTCCGGGAGTCCTGGCGGCATACAAGATGGCTCCACATGCTTCCACGGGATTTTCGCCGTTTTTACTCATGTATGGGAGGGAAAATGAACCCCCCATGGAGGTTCAATTGGGCCTGTCAGAGGGCAAGGGAAAAACGACCTTGCCTACGCCCCTGCAAGTTACACTAAATCGCATGTCGGAATTACGCGAAGCGGCCAAAGAAACCACCGCCAGAGGGCAGGATGCTAATGAAAAGAATGTGGGGCGGCATGACTGTGTGCTGCCATGGGCCATAGGGGACCGGGCATGGTTGCACTGCCCGCAGGTGCCGCTGGGAATGTCCCTAAATTGCATCGGCCATGGCAGGGTCCCATGGAGGCAGTGGAAGTCAAACAGCCACGTATACAGGTGGGCCGTCGCCGTTGCTTTGTCCATCCGTCACGGCTGAAACCATATGTTCCTCACCGAACTGACACCTCATCTCCAAACATTATACGGCTGGTGTTTGATGTGCCTGACGAGCCGGGGGAATCGGCCACGGAGAGTGTGCGTCAGAAGGATTGTGTTGTGCCGCCCACAGTTTCCGAGCCCTTGAAGGTTGGGGAGTCACGAGATCCTGCCGAATTCGAAGGAACACCGGCAACAACCCGGCCCGAGTTGGGGATGGAGCCGACCCCATCAGGGCTTTTATGCGAGCCCACATCAACTTCCAGAGTCGTGGAAAGTTGCGATTCCTTCCTTGTTGTTCTTGGGTCTGCCTTTTCAGTCGCGGATTGTTTCGCCCAACAAAAAGAGTTTTCTTCGGGATTTTTTACTGTTCTTTATTACGGAATTTTTCTGCCTGCTTTTGTTCATATTAACTATCTTTTAAACATGGGGGGGGGGGGGGGTGATGTAGTGACAGGGTGCCATCTGTTGACCAGGAGGGACAATTACGGGTATGGGTGCACTATATAATAGCCAACCATAACGGGGCGTAACTTGGCTAAAGGTCAGAGGCGGGGATCAGTTGGGAAGCTCCGGGAACCTGCACGAGAGTTCTAGAAGGGGGCGTGGCCACAGGCGGAGCTTGGCCACGCCGAGAACCGGAGTTTCGGGGCTGTCGTGGAGGTTTTGTCGTGGGGGTTCGGGTCCTGGCTGCCGTCGCTGTCTTCGCCGTCATCTCTTCTTCATCGACCGGTCATATGGCCGATCCGCTGTACGGCTCCCATCGTCGTCGTATTGGTCAGCCAGCTATATAGTTAGACGCCGGCGATGGGGCTGTACGAGTGGATCAGCTATACGTATCCCAGTGTATATGTCGTGAAGTGATTGAGCCTGTAAAGTGTGAGAAATAAACAAGGAGCCCTCTACACATCGTGTCTCGGAAGTCGCTCACTACACTTGTGTGTAAATATCGTGTGTTGTCATGGAGATAAGAAAACATTAACAATGAAAAATAAGAACCCAGCACAGACATAACCACAATGACCATCACATCAACCTGGCATCTTCAACCCATTTCAATGTTTGCATAACAACAGCAACAACAACAACCATAGTCCCGCACTATTATCACGGTTGGCTACGTACGGTGTGAAAGAAGTTCAATACAAATATATACTGCAACGACGTGTATTTGGTTATGATGCTTCTGTTGCATTGGCAGTGATGCACAAGCATAAATATCAACACTCAACACATTCATTAAAATCTGTGTGTGTGACCTTAAAGGAAACTATTTACACGAATGTCACCTGTTATATATATGGTGTCCTTGTAAGGACACAGGGTTATCAACTAACACAAGTTCTTTATATCCAGGAACGGGTTACATGGACAAGGCAGCCGCACCAACATGGCCGGGGGCTCGAGAGACTGCAGCCCAGGGCCTTTGGATGTTAAGGGTCCCCAAAAAATCATTCCGAGTGCTTTATAAAGGTTAAAGTGCAGTGATTGTGCAGTATGATCGAAAACCAAAGGTAATACTGCAAGTCAAAGCATAGCTGTGTGTGTTTTATACTTCCAGTTGCATTCCTAAATTCATATGGTTTTATTTGTTTCAACTTAAATGTAGCGTAACAGTACATCACGTTAAAGAACAGTGAAGGCAAGGAATTGTAGATACGAGGGATGTCCCAAAATCCATAACAGCGCTGGTCACCCATCAATTATATTTCATCCGTGTCAATGGGCGTATAACGGTGGAGCGGTAACGCAGTGGTAAGTGCCCTTGAACTACAAAGCAGGCAACCGGGGTTCGATTCCCTGACCTTGGCTTATCAGAGCGGTGATATCTGAACCAGCCATGTACCCCCACCACCCACCACTCACCTCCCACCTGTCATCAATCCGCACTGACCAGCGGGATGATGTTACGGTTAGATAACCCCCCCAGCGAGAGGTCGCTACTCGTGCACATCCACTGCCTGTGCATGTAACGGAGACGCCGCTTCATAACTCGGAGCGCACGGGCGCCATATTTCAACACGAAGTCTCATGCGTCACGTGGCGTGCTTGTCCGACCTCTTCCTGATTCGATGCGCGTGGCCAAAAAAAAGATAAAAAAGCAAGTTTTTCAATGCACAAACTTTCATTTGCACTCATAAGTATAAAATAAATTATTTTGACCCCAGAATTAATTAAATTCGATGTGCTCAATAAAATTGGATGGTTTCCTTTCGATATGTTTAATTTTCATTATGGAAGCCACACACTTTATTCACCACATAAAATTGGATTCATGCAGGGGTCAAAATAATTAACATTCGACTTTTGACTGAAAATAAAAGTGTTTGCAATTATTTTTACGTTTTAGTCTCATTTTCATTTACTTAAATAAGACTTGAACATAAGTTCCGGTCATTTTCATACAGTAATGTTACGTAATATTAAAATCCAGCAAAGAAAGAAAAGTAGCCTTCATCTCTCTATTTATCCATATCCAAAATTAATATCAGATTTAACGGTAATTCGTGGAATGCTTTGAATTCCAATATCTGGAATTATTTTGACCTCAGAACCAACCAAATTTGAATTTGTGAAAAACTTTAAAAGAACAAATTTAATATTTGTTTTATTTATAGTTTAAGAGTTCTTATTCTAGTATTAAAATTGTAAAAATGAGCAGTATATGTACATATTCATCCTTAGATCTCAATCCAGATAATAACAATAGTTCAATATTGTCTGGATAATTATCATGTATTTGAAATAGTGCAATACAAATTCAGTCAAAAACACGAAGATGCCCCAGATCGGCGGGAACAGGGCGGGATCTTTCAATCAAATCTTGAAACGGCACGCGAGACGAGTTTGTGTGCAACATTTCAGCTCGTTAGGCTCCGTACATCCGAAGATATTAAGCATCAAAGATTTGAAAAAATATAAACTGACAACAGCGCAAGTTAAATAAAAGTGAGTGATAAAAAACACCACCCAGCATCCTTTCCACGCACAGATCGACGACGCGTTTTCAACAAGGCTGTTTTAAAAATAAGATTTTCCTGTACACAAGAACAAAGTGCCGCTGCAGAACGTTGGGCGACAAAAAAAAAACGCAGGCGAATATCCGCCAGGCCACATCTACCCAACGCGTCCTGGTTGATGGGGGGGGGGTTGAGATAAACTACTGTTTCGTTTACATGGGAAAATGGCGCCGGTAGAACATTCCTTTTTTTGTAACATGGGGGAGGGGGGGGGGTGCTGTGTATGAGAAGTAAAAAGGAAAAAGGGGAGGGGAATGTTTAACACGCGGGTGGGGAGTCCCCGGCTTGTATGGTAGAAGAAGTGGAGGGTAAAGCCAGGGGTCACCCTAAAATAAAATAAAAACATAAGACCATGGTTTTCATAGCGAGAGATAAACAATATATGTACAGAGAAGATGCCAGATGGCCTTGTGGTCAGAGCACTAAGTTGGCACTAACTAACGAGATCCTGGTTTCGGCTCGGTTATTAATGACTGCACACACAAAAATACCTGCAGCAGTAATGTGACGAAAGTGGGAGGCAGGGGGTGCCTTGTCCCACCCCCCTGGTGGCCAAAGCTAAGAGTTGGGGCCCCCTTGACAACCACCATGAGATATGATTCCAAACAAGTGTAAAATAACAAAACTTATTTAAAATGGAGCACCCTGACAGAGTCAAACGTTTGAGACTGTGAACATAACGATCATGCGATTAGAGCAACAGGAGCCGTGATATAAAATAGCCTAGGCACAACTTTACGAAACAAATGAAATATTGGGGCCCCAACCTGACCAAATGCCGCACCCCCCACCCGAGCTGATACTGTAATGTCGTTACTGCGCCACTGACCCGCGCATTCATTTTTAGTTCTGCACCTTATTTAAGAATCCCGGCTCAAAGGACATGGGATGAACATCACTCTCTGTGGCAGGGGCAGGTGGCAAAGCACTGTTCCTGACCCCTCTCCCACTGTGTGAACCAAAGGTCACCGGAAGGGGCCCTTCTAAGGGTTGCGCTGCTGTGCGAGAGAGAGATCGGAATGGATTCCTCGTCTCAAGACCACCACAGATGACGTCGATAGAAAAACTGGGACAGAATTGGGATAACCGAAAAAAGGTTACTAGGGTATGGCAGTCCAGCAATTGGTTCTTGAATCTATTTGTGCGGAGCTGTGTAACCTCCCCTGTAATAGCCATGATGGGTTTTCTCCGGAGTCTGCTAACACAAAGTCACTCACCGAGAAAATCAGCCGAACTTTGCGATGCAGGGCCCTCCTGAAAAAAAGTATATTGAGATTCAATGGACATCTGCAGGGCAATTTAATGGAAGCTTATTTTATTTATTACTTCTTAAATATCCCACAAAATGCAGAACATGGGTCCCGAACTTACCAAAGTAAAATGTGCATTCTTTTACACAAGGTGTCCATAGCGACACTTAGCTGTAACTCATTGTTTTGATTGGCGGTTGGCAGATAACGCAGGGATGGGTCCCGGATTACACAAACCTCCTCGGCAACGAGGCACCAATACCACATCCTAACCAGGGCGGGAAATGGGAATACTTCACTGGGGGAACTCAACTACTTCACTGGGGGAACTCATAGATGATTCCCCCCACCCCTCTAGATCTGAGGAGGAGTAGGGGGGGAGGTGGAGGAGGAAGAGCTTCGCTCCGTGTGCAGTGTAAGTCTCTGTGCATACCTGTGGTACTCTATGTGTGTCTATTAGTCTCTGTGCGTGTCTGTGGGTCTCTGTGAATATCTGTGGGTCTCTAAGTATGTATGTGAGGAAGTACGGAAGGCGATCCAGAGTCAGACCAGGACAAGTGCCGGGCGGAGATGATCTCCCTCGCGAACTGCTGAAGGAGGGCAGCGTTTGTGAGCAGACTGCACTATATGACATCATAATAACGGTCTGGACCACTGGACGGGTTTCACAGGATTGGACTATAACAACTACAGGGGCATCTCCCTTCTCAGTATGCAAGGAAGCTCCTGGCAAGAATTATTCAACATCGTCTTGCCAGGCACGCTGAGGAGAGGCTTGCGGGGCCCCAATGTGGTTTCAGGCCAGGGCGGTCCTGCACAGATGCCATATTTTCTGTCCATCTACTACAGCAGAGGTGTAGGGAATGCCAACATGACCTACATCTCTGCTTTATAGAACTTGTCAAGGCCTTTGATAACATCAATAGTCCTGGGCTTTGGGTTGTTTTTGTGCTTTCAGATTCCTTGACTCTTTGATCACAATCAATAAGGACCTTAATGCTCACTCATCGGCGGAGTTGGAGGCGATGCTGCTTGACCTGGAGAATGCCACGAAGAGGTTGGAACCTTACCATCATCTCCTCCAAAACTAAGCACCTGTCTCCGTATTTTTTGTGTCATTAAACACTCTTGAACTCCCCATCGGAGATGGGGCAGTTGTGGAGAGAGTGCTTATGACCAGCTCCTGTTTGACAGCAGAGGTCCTCAATCCGAATCAGTCGAGCGACATTATATTTTCATTGGCTGCGTAATGCTGTGTGGAAACTACCTGGTCTGGACAAAGTCCCATCGGTGAGCTCCTCCAGCAGGCAAGGTTGCGTTGACTGGGTCATGTAGCCTGCATGCCGAGCCACCACATGCTCAAACAGCTTTTGTTCTGCCGGATAGAGAGGGCTAAACGGGCATGGCACGGGCGAGAGAAGAGATGGAATGATGTGGTATGAGACAATATAGAGCGGAATGGACTTGCTGATGACTGGTGCCAGCAGTGTCAAGATTGGCCTCTGTGGAGAAAGCTCATGAAGAATGCTATTGGGCAGTTGGATGCAGTCACCCTCCAGCAACAAGAGGGCATAGGAAAGTATTAAAGCTTTCGTGACTGCATAAAATTACTCATTGGTTTTTTCGGTAAAGTCACGTATGTAGAAATACAATAAAATTATATTAAAACAAAAACACAATCACGACGTTTCGATCACAACGCAAGCCATCTTCATCAGAGGTGGTCATTTTTTGAGCTGCCGTTTTGTATTTACAAGAGGTGGTCTTTTTTTGAGCTGCCGTTTTGTATGTATAAGATGTGTGTGTTTGAGCTGCCGCTCTCGCTCTGGCCCCTCCCCCCCTCCAACCGTATTTCTGATTCAAGCTTCTGTTCATCCCTCCGCCCCCCCCCCCTCTCTCTCTGCCTCCCTGTCCGTCTTTCCTCCCTCCTTACCTCTTGGTGGACTTGTATATGTATTTCTACTGACCGTGTACCTCGTATTTTTCATTCTATCTATGCTGGTATGTGCAATCCAAAGGTTGAACACGAAATTTAACACTCTTCTGAAATTCGTGGTCCGCCAGGAAGTGTCTAACTGTGTTGTTGGCCTGACTGGATGTGCTCCACATAATGTTTTTCAGGTTTGTTGAATTCTCGTCTCTCATCTTTTTGTTGTATTTACTTCCGTGATTTGTTCTTGACACCTGATGAAGATCGCTTGCGTTGTGATCGAAACGTCGTGATTGTTTTTTTTTAAATATAATTTTATTGTATTTCTACATACGTGACTTTACTGAAAAAGCCAATGAGTAAGAGGGCATAGGAGCAACGTTGAAAACAACAATCATTAAAATGATGAATTTGACACAGCCATTATGAATCCAATCAGAGATATCCAGAACGATGGCTTTAACCCAACATCTCGGGTGGCTAAAACACAGCAAGTTGGCACAGTAGAGGGAAAAGGTGGTGCATCTGCCAGTCATCTCAGTCAACCCATGGCACCTGGGTCTGTACTATGACCCCCTGCCAGCGGGCGTTCGACACTTGGCCTTAAGGTGCAGAGGGCATGGAACAAGCGCCGTCGTGACGTTACCGTGACTTAGTGGCGAATGGCGGTTATTGTTGTTGTGTCTAGATCTCTGTGCTCGTCTGTAGGCCTGTCATTCTGGGGGTCTATCCATAAGTAAACTAAAAAGAAATTTAAAAAATTTGTACTCTTGGGTCTTTCGGTAAAGTCACGTAGTTAAAATTAATTTAAAAAATCACGATATTTCGATCGCTACACAAGCAATCGTCTTCAGGTGAACAAATAAGAGCAGGCGAACTGCTGAGGCAGGAGAAATATAGCAGCAGAGCTGCTGCAGCAAGAAGTTATATCGGTTTGAGATGTGTGCAACCCAAAGGTAAGTGGGCGGGGCTAGAGATGGAATTTACATATAAATGTAAGATCGGAGAGCCTGATAAACCGAGAGATGAGAGATTAGCATGTCAATGTGAGACGGCTCCCGCAGCAGCGGCTGTGTTAATGAGAAGATTGGCATGTCAGTATCAGAGAACCGGGCACAACGCCACCTCGTAAGCAACAAAAAGCTGCGGCGTTGGCCGCTGCACTGTGAGAGACCAGCATGTCAACGCAAAAGTACCACTGCAACGGTGGCCGTGCCAGTGAGACATTTAGCCTATTAAACGAGAGCCACCGCCACATCGAATAAAAGGGAGCAGCGGCTATGTTAGTGACCAACAGCCTTGTCATACACACCAACAATCATTTCTGATTCAACCGCATTAATTGATCAAACCAAACAGTTCTCGTTGAAACCTTCTGCTGCCAGGCCATCAAGATTATACGGCTTACCAAAAATACATAAAGTAGATACACCCCTTCGTCCCATCGTCTCTACTATCAACTCCCCCACCTACAAACTGGCTCGTTTTCTGTCTGAAATCCTGCGGCCTTTCACTGGAAAAACCACCTCTGCGGTACAAAATTCCACTCACCTGGTATCGACAATTACGGGTATTTCCCTGTCCCCAGACGACCTGCTTGTCAGTTTTGATGTAGTTTCCTTATTCACCAAAGTTTCTGTACCTGACACCATCGCAATCAATGAAGACTTGGTTCATCAAGGACTAAACACTGAGGTACCCCCCCTGGTGAGACACTGCTTAACCAATAATACTTCACTTGGAATGGAACTTTCTACAAACAGAGGGCACCCCAATGGGGTCCCCCCTATCTCCGGTTGTAGCCAACATTTTCATGGAGAAATTTGAGACTGACGCCATCCAGACTGCCACTCTGCGCCCAACCTTATGGAAGAGCTACGTGGATGACACTTTTATCATCTGGCCACATGGCCGGCCTGCTCTAGACCAATTCCTCGACCACATCAATTCCATACACCAAGCCATCAGATTTACCATGGAAGTCCGAAAAGATGGCAAGCCACCTTTTTTGGATGTCCTAATAAAAAAGAGACCTGATGGTTCAATGAGCCACTGTGTCTACAGGAAAGCTACCCATACGAATGCTTATCTGAAACCGGATTCCCACCACCATCTATCCCAGAAGAATTCCCTCATCAAGACTCTGCACCATAGAGCCCAATGCATATCGGACCAGGAACACATAACCAGTGAACTCAAGCATGTACACCAAGCTCTTAAGGCTAATGGTTACTCTGGCTGCACAATCCGCAAAGCAATCACTCCAACCATGAAGAAGGACCCTCTTGAGGAGCCTTTCAAAACCATCACTTTACCCTACATTGCGGGGATCACAAAAAAGATCTCCAAAATCTTGAATAAACACAAGATCCAGGTCCGATTCAATACATTACATAAGATCCGTGATCTGGTTCTGTCTGTAAAAGATGTGATTCCGGGCATACAGTACCCTGGCGTCTACAAACTAAGTTGCCTCTGTGGTAGTAGTTACATTGGAGAAACCAAACGACATGTCTTGGACCGCATTCGTGAACACAAAGCAGACCTAAAACACGGTAGGACCAACACCATGGCCGTGGCAGATCACTGTTATAATTCAGTAGGCTCACATGACATTGACTTCTCCAAGACAGAGGTTATTTGCAAGCCATCTGGCTACCATGAGAGATTCGTTCATGAGGCTATCCACATATATAAACACAGAGACAATTTCAACCGAGAAGATGGATTCTGGCTTAGCAATCATTGGAAGGATTTGATAAACCATTTCGGGTCTTAATTGATTATTCACGCTTACGGTGGCTGTCAGACCGCATCCATTATTTTCGTCTCCCCCCTCCTCTTTTCCGAACATAGATGGACTCGTCCATTTGAATAACTGCCAAATCGTTCTCCGTGGTGCTAACGTTAAAAAAACCCGCCACTTTTTCAAATTTTCTTCCTGTGGTTTTCACACCTGATGATGATTGCTTGTGTTGCAGTTGAAACGTCGTGAGAATTGTATTGTTTTTATTTTTATTTATTGTTTCCCTTCTACGTGACTTTACCGAAAGAACCAATAATATGAATCCCTGCAGTCACGAAAGCTTTAAATAAAAATGTAAAGATATTTAACAAGGTAATGTAACTCAGGAGAGTCAGAAATAACTGCTAACATCGGCAGGTTGGATGGAAGCATCACAGCCAGTTATGACTTTACCTGCTTAATAACACCCTTCCAATGATTGCTCAGTTTGTACTCATCTTCTCGGTTGAAATTGTGTCCGTGTTTATATATCTGGATGGCTTCATGAACAAATCTTTGCTGATAGCCAGTAGGTTTGCAGAGTACCTTCGTCTTGGATAAATCAATTTCACATGTGCCCACAGCATTACAACAATGATCAGCCACTGCCGAGGTATTCGTCCTACCGTGTTTCAGATCCACCTTGTGTTCACGAACACGGTCCGAGACATGTCGCTTAGTTTCCCCAATGTAACTACTACCGCAGGCACAACTTAGTCTGCAGACACCTCGGTATTGCATGTCAGGGATCACATCCTTCACAGATGAGATCAGATCACAAATTTTATGTATTGTGTTGAATCGAACCTGGATCTTGTGTTTGTTCATGATTTTGGAAATCTTTTTGGTGAGCCCTATGTATGGCAAGGTGATGGTTTTAATTTGGTCCTCAGATGGTTCTTTCCCAACGGTTGGGGTGACAGCTTCACAGATTGTGCAGTCCGAATATCAATTCATCTTGAGGGCTTGGTGTACGTACTCCAGTTCACTGGCTAGGTGGTGATGGTCGGAAATGCAACGAGCCCTATGGTGTAGAGTTTTGATGAGGGAATTCTTCTGGGCTGGATAGTGGTGGGTTTCCTGTAGACAGAGTGTCCCAATGAGCCATCTGGTCTCTTTTCGATTAAAACATCCAAGAATGGTAACTTGCCATCCTTTTCCACCTCCATGGTGAATTGGTTCAGTGCTGGCAGGCCATGTGGCCAGATGATAAACATGTCATTTACATGCAAATTCCATCTCTAGCCCCGCCTACTTAACTTTGGGTTGCACCCATCTCAAACCTATATAACCTCTTGCTGCAGCAGCTCTGCCGCTATATTTCTCCTGCCTCAGCAGTTCGCCTGCTGTATTTTTTCACCTGAAGACGATTGCTTGTGTTGCGATCGAAACGTCGTGATTTTATTTGTATTTTTCCATCTACGTGACTTTACCGAAAGACCCAAGAGTATGAATTCCTGTAGTCACGAAAGCTTGAAGTGAAGATAAAAAATGTATGTAAAAATGTATTTTCACACTTTTATTTGAACTCAAAAGTATAATTGTTCTTTTTTACCCCAGAATTAATCAAATTTGTTGTGCTGAATAAAAGTGGGTGGATTGCATAACGAAAATCAAAAGGAAGCCAACCACTTTCATTCAGCACATCAAATTTGATTAATTCTGGGGTCGAAATAATGTATTTTCAATTTTTGAGTGCAAATAAAAGTGTGTGCATTAAAACAAAAATTTCCCTTTTTTACCGTGAAACCTATTTTAACTATTTTATTTTACCAAGTCAGGCCCACTAGAGCTGTGTAGCTCTTTTTCAGAAACGACCTGGCCAAAATGATAGCCCAATGAAGTGGCTTATCATGTGAAAATTTATAGTAGCCAAATACTCTAAGCACATGTTTCTAAATGTGGAGGAATAAACTGGACCCAGAGAAAAATCCACGCGACCATGGGGAGAACATGCAATCTCCATATATACAGGCGTGAGGGTCAGCATTGAACCCACGACCTCCTGTATAGCAGGCGAGGTAGTTAACATCTCGCCACTTCCACAACCACGAGCGGCAGATGTTAACTGTTAACAACAGTAACGCCTATGAACAAATCACCCGGACTTGGAATGTGCCCGATCTGGTCGGACCTCGAAAGTCAAGCAGATCTGAGCTCGGACAGTGCCTGGATGGGTGCCCACCATGCACAACACAGGTTGTCATAGGGCTGGAGGGCAACATTGTGTTTATTTCCAGTTCTACTGTACGTCTATGGTGCCCGCCTTTACCAATCCGCAATGACCTGCCGGGGTGAAGTATGGCCTCCACAACCAGCAGGGTGTGGGGAGGCTGTCATCCAGCAGTGGATTGACAAAAGGTTTCTATGCTCCTATGGGCAATGTGCGGCGCTAATCTCTACCAGTGGAATTTCCACATTCACAAAGCAGGGATCATCTTTAACAACCACTGACTTCGCACAAAGTTGTACCCGTTTTATGGCTCTGTAAGAGACGACTACGATGGTTTGCCTATGTCAACCCTTAACCCTACAATGAAAGCATGCGCATTGCAAAACAGTCTATGTAATGAAAGGTTGGCAACACGCAGCACGTATATTACAATTAAAATAACAATCATCCTGAATGCAAAGAAATTAAATTACATTTAGAACGCAATCAGTATAACACGCTTAATTATCGTAGTTGCGTTCATTAGGTACTGTAGTGTATACAAGGCGGCAAGGCATTTATATCAACAATCATGATTAGAACATTTTGCCAATTAAAATAGCGATAACATGAGGGCATTTAATTGTAAATCATGATCACAGTTCTCACCTGCTCGCTAAACTTCAGCATAAGCACGTTGGCCTCAACCCGTCGGAACGGGCGTGGCAAAAGAAATGATAATGCTATTAATTGCTATGTCATTATGTAAAAAATATAAATAGTGGTAATTATGATGAATATTGTAATTGGTAATTATGATGAGTATTGTAATTGGTAATTATGATGAGTATTGTAATTGGTAATTATGATGAGTATTGTAATTGGTAATTATGATGAGTATTGTAATTGGTAATTATGATGAGTATTGTAATTGGTAATTATGATGAGTATTGTAATTGTTGCGGGAACAATAGCGGCCGCTCCGGCATCATTACGAGGGGCGACGTAAGCGCGCCTCTCATTGGCCAGAGGCTTCCAACAAAAGTCGCTTTGATTGGACAAGACGTGTCCCCGCGTGGCTGAGCGCGACCAATCGTGATTGGAAATGGGGGGGGAGGGGGTGCGGAGTTTATTTAGAACCAAAAATTATTAATTAAGTTAGAAACACGAATAGGTCAAGGGTCGCCGGGACCCGGACCGCTTTTTTTATTATTATTTAATTACATTAAATCTTTAATTGTCACGCGAGACGAGTCTGTGTAGAAAATTTCAACTCGGTAGGATTCGTAGATCCGAAGATATTAAGCGTAAAAGATTTGAGACAATTTCGATTTAAAGCTTTCGTGACCGCAATGATTAATCTTCTTTGGTTCTTTCGGTAAAGTCACCACGTAGAATGAGAATAAAATAATAAATTGATAAAATAAAATAACACAATGATATTCTGTAGTGTTCACTCCAGCGCTGTCCTCCAGACAGTCTCGTCCCTTCACCTGATGAAGGCCGCTTGTGTTGCGGCCGAAACGTCGCGAGAATATTATTGTGTTATTTTATTTTATCAATTTATTATTTTATTCTCATTCTACGTGGTGACTTTACCGAAAGAACCAAAGAAGATTTGAGACAATATAAAAAGACAAAACGCCACGTGCATTAAGCGGTCTCGGGAGCCTTGTGCTCTTGATGAAGTTTGGATGCTCTCCTCGGCTTGGTTTCCTGAAACATCGCAGCCAGCAACCACGAATCCTGTAAAACCTTGAAACAATACACAGCGTCCACAATTACTGTTAGGGGCAGTGTTGTTTATGTAATGTGTTGAGTATTGTTACGTAACAGGGCAAATGTCTGGTCAGACACGGGCACATAGAGTACTAGTGCCCCCTGCAGACAGAGAGAGAGAAACACGAGTTATATACTCTTTGTAGACAGAGAGATAAACACGAGTTATATACTCTTTGTAGACAGAGAAACACGAGTTATATACTCTTTGTAGACAGAGAAACACGAGTTATATACTCTTTGTAGACAGAGAAACACGAGTTATATACTCTTTGTAGACAGACAGAGAAACACGAGTTATATACTCTTTGTAGACAGAAACACGAGTTATATACTCTTTGCAGACAGAGAAACACGAGTTATATACTCTTTGTAGACAGAGAAACACGAGTTATATACTCTTTGTAGACAGAGAGAAACACGAGTTATATACTCTTTGTAGACAGACAGAGAAACACGAGTTATATACTCTTTGTAGACAGAGAGAAACACGAGTTATATACTCTTTGTAGACAGAGAGAGAAACACGAGTTATATACTCTTTGTAGACAGAGAAACACGAGTTATATACTCTTTGTAGACAGACAGAGAGAAACACGAGTTATATACTCTTTGTAGACAGAGAGAAACACGAGTTATATACTCTTTGTAGACAGACAGAGAAACACGAGTTATATACTCTTTGTAGACAGACAGAGAGAAACACGAGTTATATACTCTTTGTAGACAGAGAGAGAAACACGAGTTATATACTCTTTGTAGACAGAGAAACACGAGTTATATACTCTTTGTAGACAGACAGAGAGAAACACGAGTTATATACTCTTTGTAGACAGAGAGAAACACGAGTTATATACTCTTTGTAGACAGAGAAACACGAGTTATATACTCTTTGTAGACAGAGAAACACGAGTTATATACTCTTTGTAGACAGAGAGAGAAACACGAGTTATATACTCTTTGTAGACAGAGAAACACGAGTTATATACTCTTTGTAGACAGAGAAACACGAGTTATATATTCTTTGTAGACAGACAGAGAAACACGAGTTATATACTCTTTGTAGACAGACAGAGAAACACGAGTTATATACTCGTTGGTTCTTTCGGTAAAGTCACGTAGATGAAAAATTAAAATAATAATGAAAATAATCAAATGAAAATAACTCAATTAAATCACGACGTTTCGGGCGCAAACAAGCGTCCGTCATCAGGTGGGAAAGCATGATCTCTTTTTTCATCTACGTAACTTTACCGGAAAAAAAAAACAAAGAGTATGGATCCTTGCAGTCACGAAAACTTCAAATCTAGAATGAACACGAGTTATTTTGTGATGTATTTTGTGACAGTCCAGGCAGGGCTCGACTAACACCGACGACTTTACGGACACCCCGCGCATTTACAAACCAGCTTCACAGCATGTTTCTGTAACATCTTCTCAAAACGAGAAACTCGCACTTGCAGGCTGAACGTCAGAACTTTGTTTGCTGCGCTACGAACCTGGCAACCCGGGTTCGATTCCCGCTCACGGCCAACACCAAGTGACGATTATCTTGAACCGGTCCTGGGTCTCCCCCTAGGTCGACTCAGCCTCAAAATGAGTAAATAGTGCGCGGTGTTGGCCACCCACCACCTCATGTGCCGTGCCGGCATTCATAGGTGCTGCTCGCTAACAGCACTTGCCCCAAGTCTGTTACAGGGGACATTTGTCTTTGTATGTGTGTGTGGGGAGCGGTAGTGCAATGGTTAGCGCATTGTGCTACCAACCTGGCAACCCGCTCATAATCAACAAGTGACGGTCATCTGAATGGCTCCTGGGTCTCCCTGGTCGTCTCAGCCTCAATGTCTAAGCATCGCCACTGGGGAGACAAAGGCGGCCGGGTGTGGTTCTGGCCACTCACCCGCTCGTGTGCTGTGCCGACCTTCATAGGCGCTGCTTGCTAACAGCACTTGCGACAACAGCCTGTTCAGGGGGATCACTGTCGTTGCAGTGTGTCTTAGTGTGTGTCTTAGTGTGTGTCTGCAGGTTCTGCAGTGTCTTAGTGTGTGTCTGCAGGTTCTGCAGTGTCTTAGTGTGTGTCTGCAGGGTGTCTTAGTGTGTGCAGGTTCTGCAGTGTCTTAGTGTCTGCAGGTTTTGCAGCGTGTCTTAGTGTGTGTCTGCAGGTTCTGCAGTGTCTTAGTGTGTGTCTGCAGGTTCTGCAGTGTCTTAGTGTGTGTCTGCAGGTTCTGCAGTGTCTTAGTGTGTGTCTTAGTGTGTGTCTGCAGGTTCTGCAGTGTCTTAGTGTGTGTCTGCAGGTTCTGCAGTGTCTTAGTGTGTGTCTGCAGGTTCTGCAGTGTCTTAGTGTGTGTCTGCAGGTTCTGCAGTGTGTCTTAGTGTCTGCAGGTTTTGCAGTGTGACTTAGTGTGTCTGCAGGTTCTGCAGTGTCTTAGTGTGTGTCTGAAGGTTCTGCAGTGTCTTAGTGTGTGTCTGCAGGTTCTGCAGTGTGTCTTAGTGTGTGTCTGCAGGTTCAGCTGTGTGTCTTAGTGTGTCTGCAGGTTCTGCAGTGTGTCTTAGTATGTGTCTGCAGGTTCTGCAGTGTGTCTGCAGGTTCTGCAGTGTGTCTTAATGTGTGTCTGCAGTGTGTCTTAGTGTGTGTCTTAGTGTGTGTCTGCAGGTTCTGCAGTGTCTTAGTGTGTGTCTGCAGTGTGTCTTAGTGTGTGTCTGCAGGTTCTGCAGTGTCTTAGTGTGTGTCTGCAGGTTCTGCAGTGTCTTAGTGTGTGTCTGCAGGTTCTGCAGTGTCTTAGTGTGTGTCTGCAGGTCTGCAGTGTCTTAGTGTCTGCAGGTTCTGCAGTGTGTCTTAGTGTGTGTCTTAGTGTGTGTCTGCAGAGCATTTCTGAGATCTTGGGGGAGGGGAAATACCTCAGCCCACAAAACATCATCGGGCAAGATGGGGACGATCCTGCTTGGGGCTACTGTGCCTCAAATATTGGCAGAAGTAGTCGCCCCTTCTGAGTGGTTGGCTGGGGTTACCATCTGTGGAGGAAGTGCGAGTGGCGATTCGGCGTCTGAGACCAGGAAAAGCACTGGGCAGAGAAGATCTCCCAAGCGAAATTCTGAGCGAGGGTGGCATCTGTGTGCAGGATGCCCTACATTACATCATCTCAACTGTATGGACCACATGACAAGTTCCGCTGGATTGGAAGGATGCCCTGGTGGTTCCCCCTCTTTAAGAAGGACCGCACAGACTGCAACAACTACAGGGGCATCTCGCTCTTCAATGTTCCGGGAAAAATCCTAGCAAGGCTTATTTAACATCGCCTTGCCAGGAACCCTGAGGAAAGGCTTGCGGAGCCCCAATGTGGTTTCAGGCCAGGGCTGTAGTGGTCCTGCTACAGCATAGGTTGCAAGATCTCTGCTTTATTGACCTGGTCAAGGCCACTGATACCATCAACAGGCCAGGGCGCTGGGCTGTTCTTCACACTTTCGGAGTCCCCGACTCTATAAAGACAACAAGGACCTTCATGATGGTAGGCAGGCCTGGGTAAAGCTATGTGGCCAGGTGCCAGAGCGATTCCCTGTTCACCTTGAAGTATGAAAGGGATGTCCTCTAACTCCCACATTATTCACCACGTAGTTTTAAAAGCTCCGTGGCTGTACTGGAGGAATTTTCATCCGCTACAAATACAATGGGAGGCTGATCGATGCCCGAGTGTGGTCAAGAGATTCATCTTTTGGTTAACTATGTTATGTATTATGATTTGGTGATTGCTGATCAGAGGAGTTTGGGGCACTGCTACTGAACCTGGAGCGTGCTACTGGTGGGATCCTACCATCAGCCCCACTAAACAAATCACCTGCCTGAGTATTTTGTTCCATCAAACATTCCCCCCCCCCTCAACTCCAAGTTGGCAATAAAGCAGTTGTGGAGAAAATGGATAGTTTTACCATACCTGTGCAGTGTACTTATGACCAGCTTTGGTTTGATAGCAGAAGTCTAATTCCCAATCAGTCGGGCAGCATTATTTCATCGGCTGCATAATACTGTGTAGAACCGATCTAGAGTGTTGCTCCGCACGAAGATTCGGGTCTTCTCAGCCAGTCATGCCCTCCATTCCCGATGCTTGTGAAACGTGGACCCCCTGAATGGAACATATGCACCAGTTAGAAATATTCAGGTTGGCCTGCCTACGATCCATCTGAGTTTAAACGGGCTGGATTGAGCTCTCAAATCCTTGGAAGGCCTGGACAAGTCCCAGCAATGAGCTCCTCCGGCAGGCAAGGCTGCATTGGCTTGGTCATGTAATCATGTGCCCAGCCACTACTTCCCCAAACAGCTTTTGCTTGGCCAGATAGAAGGGGCTAAACGGGTGCAGCACAGGCTAAAGAGATGGGCTGTGATACAGGTGGATATGGAGCTGGGTGGACTTGCCGATAACTGGTACTAGCAGTGCCAAGATCAGCCTGTCACAGGCTCATGAAGGGCACTGTTGGGCAGTTGGAGACAGTCGCCCTCCAACAATAGAGGGTAGTGGAGCAAGGCTTACAATAATGAGCCTTAAGATTTAGAATTTAACAGCCATTATGAAACTGATATCCAGAACCACAGCATTAACCCAACATTTTTGGGTCTGACACGGCCATTATGAAACCAATGAGATATCCAGACCCATGGCTTGGAACCCAAGATATCAGCATCATCCCTGGCCAAGTGATTTCTAAAATGTCAGCAAGTTCACCTGTGGCTGCATTCTGCAATACTAAATGTATAACTTCATACACTTGATTCCATGCCTTTTTCTTAAATCAAGAGGAAAGTTTAATCTCGAAAGGCTGTTAGGCTCCTGCTCCTGAGGCCCCATGTCCTCCAGAGCAGGCTCGTCCTTTGTCTCCACCCTTTCCTGTTTAGGCACCACCCCTTCTTTTGGACATGGGGTCGAGCTTGTTGGGGTAGCGGTGGGGGGAAGAAATGGAGGCAGGGAGTGTGCATGCAATCAGTCCGCAGTGGTAGGTGGGGACAACAGGGGTGCCTGTGGAGAAATGTCAACTACCTTGCCTGGTATGCAGGTCATTGGTTGATCCAGACCCTGACGCCTGTATATTTGGAGTTTTCATGTTCTCCCCGTGGATTTTTCTCCAGGTCCTCCAGTTTTTCCCCTCCACATTTAGAAACATGCATTTCAGAGTATTGGCTGCTATAAATTTCCACATAAGCCACTTCGTTGAGCTATCATTTGTGGCCAGGTTGCTTCTGAAAAAAAGAGCTAAAGAGTTATATAGCTCAGTGGGCCTTACCTGGTAGTTTCATATTAATTTACACTGCCGGAAGATAAAAATCCCTTGAAGCAACAATAAATCACACACCACAGACAGGAATGATGCTCGTAGAATCTTTATTTCTCACTAGGAGGTCCGACTTGTATCAGCGAACCCAGAAGCCAGAAGAGAATAGGCCAAAAAACCACCACCTCAACCATCTCCACTACCACCATGAGATCAAACATCTTGACTGTCAACAACCACTACATCCCAAACCATGATCACAACCATTTCAACCACCACTAACTCAACCATTGCCACCAAGTCAATCAACCACAACCACCATCAACCAAAGGTACCATATCTTCAAAGCAGTACAGGCAATTATCTTTTACAAGATAATGAACATAACAGCGGCAGCAGTAATAGGAGTACTATCATCACCATCACACACCGGCTGTCCTCATGAAGCAACTACAGATTGAGAGAGACACGGCTCGGTGTGAGTGAGCAGGTGGGCGAGCGCTCGTGTATGTGTACGAGTGGCTGAGTGGGTGGGTGAGTGTGTAGGTAAATTAATGTCGTATAAGAGGATGCGTGAGCGAGTGTCAGGAAATGAATGTAGGTAAATGAATGAGTGTCGCATGTGAGAGTAAGTGAGCGTGTGTGACTGGTTGAGTGGGGAAGCAGTGTGAGTGAGAGAGCGCCTAGCTGCTGTCACCCAAAGTGAGTCTCTCAAAGAGGTACTCGCCCATGCCAGACTGGGGAACGCCCAGTCGCTTCAGATTGGTGACGTGGTCACCCAACTTCTTGATAGACTCCACCTGCTCCTCCAGGAAGTCGTCCAGGAAGTCACACAGCTGAGACATTGTGAATGGCGAGGTGAGGGGAGAGAGGAATTGGTGAGAGGGAAGAGGGAGAGAGTGGATGGTTAAACCAGTGTCTGTACAAGTACTGTCTGTGTCTCCGTGTTAAGAGTCTCCAAACTCTCGTCTGATAATTTGCAGCAAGATAATTTGCTGTGGTTTTCACACCTGATGATGATTCCTTGCGGTTGCAGTCGAAACGTCGTGATAATTTTATTGTTTTATATTTTTATTATTTTATTGTTTCCCTTCTACATGACTTTACCGAAAAAACCAAGAATATGTTTGTTTTTCCTTAATAAACGTTTGTAAAAGTTATGTTAAGCTACAATAAATGTTTGTTACGATTATTTCCATTATTTTCGTGGTCAAATTGGGTACATTTATGGTACGTAATGGGTTTCCAGGAACGGAACCCCAATGTACAACATTGCGGCGATGGGAGATGCGGGATCGACTTGTAGGTGCGGGGGTCCGCCTGTACTCGCCTGTGGGTCTTTCTTCTCGGTGGCCAGCACATGTAGATCCAGGAGAGATTGGTTGACGCTCTTCTCGAGCTGCAGAGCGGCCTGCATGGCCTCCAGACCATTTCCCCACTCATCATGCTCCGGCTTCTACATAGAGATATACAAGAGGGATATGAAGACAGAGATACACGGATACACAGACACAGATAGTTACTTAGACACACACAGAGTCAGTCATAAACACAGATACACATACACGGATGGAGAGAAATGCAAAACATAGACTCTCAAGCTACTTTTTAAAGTGTTAATATCACTACCTCTTTCATTCAGAAAAATAAATAATGGCCATGTTAGCTAGTGAACTGGAGACCTGGGTTCAAACCCTGGGTGTCACTCAGGAGGTTCATAATGGCAGTCTCACTTTTACAATGCCCGTGTACTTCTCAGGGGGGTTCCAAAATGGCCATATCCGAGAAAGAGAAACCCTTGGTAAACTCCCCATATATTTCATTAACACCCCCCCCCCACCACCCCGTGTCTCTCAGTTGCCCACACAGATTAGCGATCCTGATTCAGCGGTTCCATCTCCTTGTACCTTGACGTCCTGCAGCTGCACGCGGCCACCGCGCTTGTTCTGGTACGCGAGCAGCTTGTCGGCGTGCTCGCGCTCCTCCTCGGACAACTCCTTGAAGAACTTGTGGAAGTTCTTCAGGGCCACGTCATCGCGATCAAAGTAGGACGCCTGTTGCCGCGGACACAGCATCACCATCACCGTTAACATCATTACCGCCATCACAACAACCATCGCTTACTCGCAATGCAATCAACCATCACGATTGATGACCACCAAGTTGGCCTGTGACTGCATCTGTGGTGCTAAAAGGGATGTGGTTTGTCTGCTGCACTTTTTACTCATTTCATTACCGCAAAATTAACAAGGGATGTTAAGTCTAGCTAAGCCCCGCCTCTTCCTCTTCATGCCCACCCCCTTACTCTTTATAGTCCCCACCCCTTTCGGGTTAGGCCCATCCCCTTCCGGGTTACGCCCCTATCCTCTGGACACAAGGCGTTGGGCTTGTTTGGGTGGCGGTCGGGGGTAAGTGTGCGTGCAGCGCTAATAGATTATTAGGCTTCCCTACCCGGGAGGGAAACTGCCAAGCGTTTGTAGTCGGGGAGCAATGTGGCTGCTGTGTAATTATAATAAAGTAATTCGTAGAGTAATCTTTCAACATTTGGTGACGCGAGCACAAAATGCCAAATGACATGACAGGCTAAGGTCCACCGAGTAAAACAGATGGCGGGCATTATTACGTGGCAAACCCACAGAGCGGTATTATTGCGGGCGCAGCGGTGAGCGCGCCTGTGCTGGAGCATGTCGCACAATCACCACGAAACCACCACCAACCACTTACACCGAATTCAAAATGATTCGGGATGTCACCAAGTGTTTGCTCAAGCATCCCAATGCTTAAAAAATATCCCTATTTGGCATCACACGGGGCAATGACATCATCGCCCCCCTACTGCGAACACCTGGCAGGACCCGAAACATTATGTTGAGCCGAAGGGAGGCTCCACTTGATAAACAAGTGGAATAGTAATAAATAAATAAACTAACATATAATTATTGGGCCGCGGTTGGTTACATGACTTGGATCCATGCCCAGTCAATTCATTCTTTCCTGGTAAACAACTTCTCGGAAAGGCGGATGGCCCCTCCCCCTCCAAACCCGCCCCCACCTCCCCCCGCGTAGTGTTACCCCTCCCCCCTACTCGCCCCTCCCCCCGGGCAGTGTTCCCCCTCCCCCCTCCCCGCCCCTCCCCCCGGGTAGTTACCCCTCCCCCCTACTCGCCCCTCCCCCCGGGCAGTTACCCCTCCCCCCTATTCGCCCCTCCCCACCTCCCCCCGGGCAGTGTTCCCCCTCCCCCCTACTCGCCCCTCCCCACCCGCCCCCACCTCCCCCCGCGTAGTGCCCCCTCTGTCCGCATGCCCCGCCCCCACCTCGCCAGCGCCCCTCCCCCGTGTAGTCCCCCCCACTCCCCCCCCCTCCCCACCATGCGGGACCCAAGCCCCGGGCCGTGCGCCAACTGACCCCTCCCACTTGCTCACAGCCCCCACCCTCCACTCCATCACGTGATCCACCAGGTCACGCGCACAGCGTTGCCGTCACCAACTCGCGTCCCCCCTCACCCCAACAAAAACCACGTGACCAGTTGTTTACAAACTTGGCGCGCGCGCCCCCCCCTTCACACCACGTGATACACCCCCACCTCCATCCCGTGGAGCCCCACAGGGCTGTTCGGGCAATAGTTGTGGCCAGAACCACGCCCGCCCGCCCGCCCGTCCGCCTTTGTCTCCCCCATGCTCGATGCCGTAGACACACGCAGCTCCAGATACTATTCAGTTATCAACTCTCAAGCAGCCGCCAATGCCGCCCGTGAGCTCAGCGGATTTCCTCGATAAATAAAGATTCCGAACTCAGATCGCCCGCCGCGTTTCGCAGCGGCAGTTCGCTACAGACATCCCGTGAAATCGTCCCGTGCCAGGCTAGGTGCACCTGACACCGTGCGTGTTGTGTTCACCTATCCGTGGTCTCCACTAGAATACACAGAGCCTTGTCCACTCAACCACCAACCACCCACTCGGCAGTATAACACCCACGTGCTCACCCACTGACATTTATGCCATTGAGGGCCATGGCCTAAAACGTCGCCTTATATCCTTAATATTATTGCAGTGTTATTGCCAAACGTGCAGAGTTGTGTTCTTCCACTCGCCCACCGCTTGCCCACCGCTCGCCCACCGCTCACCCACCACTCACCCACCGCTCACCCACCACTCACCCACCACTCACCCACCAACTCACCCACCAACTCACCAGGGACAGGTAGACGTAGGAGGCGTACAGCTCCTGGTTGACCTGGCGGTTGATGGCCGCCTCCACCTCCTGGCTGTAGTTCTGACGAACCTGGGACGCCATTACGTCTGCTTTCAGTTGTCGAGAGAGATGGGGACTCGAAGAGGATCAAGTGTCACTGGGAACTACCTCAAGCAGGATATTAAAGCAGGATATTAAAGCAGGGCGCCGTGGCTCCGTTCAAACACTGTTGAAGCAAGAACCGCGAACCTGACTGAAGGGAGGGGAGCTTCGCTCGCGCTTTATATAGCCGCGTGACAGAGGGCGGAGCCATGCCGGGCGGTGGTTGGAACTGACCAATCAGGGGGCTGCGAATGGGCGAGGCTTGCGTGGCAATGGGCGGGGCCGTTTTCGTGCTCGTTGGGGAGTGGGTGGGGCTTATGGAATGATTGACAGATCAACCGGCGATGCTGATTGCTGTTGCACAAACAACAGCAACAACAGCAATCGTGACATGCATTACGTCAATAACACCTTGGCCTTAAAAAGGAACATATATAATAGGCGACGTTTCGGGCAAAGGACCTTATGCACAGCGTTGAAGTCTATGGGTGTCTGCGTGAGTGCTTGCAAAACCACACCCAGCTTAGCAGCACTCCTCGCCTGTGACTGGTCGAGCGATGGGGCGTCTGGGGGATACAAAGGCGGCCGTGGGGAGGAGGGATGTCGCAATATTGCGGGTGTGATCTGACGTGGGCGGGTGAGAGTCTCTGGTTGTTATGGCTGTCGCTGTGTCTACGTGCCCGAACACGCCGTTCACTTTAGCCGGCCGGTTATTATTGCGAAGTCATTGTGAGAATGGCACTCTAAAGTAATCGTTAATGCTGAGTCAGGAATGAAGTCACGCGTTTATTATTTTATTTATTACATTAATGCATTCAAAAATAAAACTTATTTTTCACAATTCGTAGTGACACGAAGATGCTCGCTGACTCGTGTAGATATCCAGTGTCAGAATAACGTGGGTCTCTGTGCGAGTCGTCAGCTTCCCTGCGTTTGTCAATGGATCTTTGTGTGAGCCTCTGAGTTTGGGGGAGCCGCCCTGCATTAGAATCACTCGTGGTCACCACCGGGGACGATTTCCTGAACCCCACATGAGTACCTGGTGGCAGTGCCGGATTAAGCTAGTGGGGGGCCCTGTCGCTTATCTTATAAAGGGGCCCTACATTTTTAAAACACAAAAATATATATAAAAACACGTTTACTTGTATGGTAAAGTAATTGCATTTTTTCATTTGCTATACAGCCAGACAATACGGCAAATCGCTAGCCTTAAACACCCAGTCGTTCATAAAAGTTGAAGGCAGTATAGTACTACAGTAATAGAGCAAGTGTAGAATCACTGAACCCCTATTACTTGATAGTAATAGGGGTTTTCCCCCTTTTTTCTGGCAACAAAACTGAAACCTTTTTACGAGGAATCATGCCTGCATTAGCCACAATACTTGTGGTCAAAATGCAAACAAAAAACATACTCTGATAGCATGAAAGCGTTTAGCGCGAGGCCCTTGAAAGTGCGGGGCCCGTAGCTACTCCACGTGTAGCAGCTACTACACATGTAGCTACTACACGTGTAGCAGCTGCTACACGTGGGCGTGTCCTCACTGAAGGGGGGCGTGTCAGACACGCCCCCCCTCGGTGAGGCAGATGTGATAGCTGCCTCCCCTGGTGCTTTTTCATTGCAGTTTTATGACGAGACCAGCGAGCATAAATATATTTATACACATACGTGAAATAAGTTACCTGGACTATGGAAGGCGAGGACACGTAATGAAGGGGTCTACAAACATTACATTGGTGATATACAGAGAGATAGTAACAGGCACGCGTTTATTGCCCGCGCTCCATCCAGTTTCTGAGGGGTTGCGCAATCAGAGGGGAGGCTGAGCGCGTCGCTGCCTCACCTCTCGTCTCTCCCTGTATTTGCAGCGAAGGTCCGCAAATTTAGCGATTTTGACTATAAAAAAATGATTGGAACCGTATAGAAATGACATTTATAACACAGATCAGCGGAGAAATCTTTATATTTTTTTATTATTTACTTTTCGTAACAGCTCTTTTCATTGGAGTATGGCAGGTGAGGCTCTGCCTACCCTGCCTCCCCAAACCGCACATCCCTACTGCCTAATGCAGTGTTCTTCATTGCAAGGTCCACGGGCCACTCGCAGAGCCTGGTGCCCTTGAGTGCTGTACCCACATCGCGACACGGAGCCAAGATGTTAACTACTTCGCCAGGCGTACAGGAGGTCGCGGGTTCGAACCCGACCCAGACGCCGGTATATTTGGAGTTTGCGTGTTCTCCTCGTGGTTGTGTGGATTTTTCTCCAGGTCCTCTGGTTTTTCGCTCCACATTTTGAAATGTGTGTTTGGAGTAGTTGGCCGCTATACAATTCCACATGATGATGAGCCACTTCGTTGAGCTATCATTTGTTGGCCAGGTCGCTTCTGAACAATAGCTATATATATTCTTAGTTTTTTCGGTAAAGTCACGTTGAAGGGAAACAACAAGGGAAACAACAAATAATAAAATATATTATATATTTATATTATTATATAAATATATATTTTATATATATTTTATCATTTTGTTGTTTCCCTTCAACGTGACTTTACCGAAAAAACTAAGAATATGAATTACTGCAGTCACGAAAGCTTTAAATCAAAATTTAATAGCTATATAGCTCAGTGGGGTGGAGACAAATGTGAAAACACCCCATCATGCTATTAAACCAAATGGTTTCAAATGTGTACCGGCCCTCACACTGATGATATAGTAACATTATTTTTGTTCCTGGGTAGTAAGTGTTATTTTATAATTGCTTATGCCTTAAAAGTATAGAAAATGGCTATTATTCCCCACAACTTTGCTTTTGTGACCATGACTTTATGTAAAGGAATGACACAAAAGCACACATTTTTTCATTGAAAATAGGTAAATTTCTAAACATCACTGTCCTGGTCACAAAAGCAAAGTTTGTGGGGAATAATATCTATTTTATGCACTTTTGAGGCAAAAGCAATTAGGAAATAACACGTACTACCCAGGAACAACAACTAGATATATTTACAGTGAGGGAAAAAAGTATTTGATCCCCTGCTGATTTTGTACGTTTGCCCACTGACAAATGAATTATTAGTCTATAATTTTAATGGTAGGTTTATTTGAACAGTGAGAGACAGAATAACAACAAGAAAATCCAGAAAAACGCATGTCAAAAATGTTATACATTGATTTGCATTTTAATTAGGGAAATAAGTATTTGACCCCTCTGCAAAACATGACTTAGTACTTGGTGGCAAAACCCTTGTTGGCAATCACAGAGGTCAGACGTTTCTTGTAGTTGGCCACCAGGTTTGCACACATCTCAGGAGGGATTTTGTCCCACTAATCTTTGCAGAACTTCTCCAAGTCATTAAGGTTTCGAGGCTGACGTTTGGCAACTCGAACCTTCAGCTCCCTCCACAGGTTTTCTATGGGATTAAGGTCTGGAGACTGGCTAGGCCACTCCAGGACCTTAATGTGCTTCTTCTTGAGCCACTCCTTTGTTGCCTTGGCCGTGTGCATTGGGTCATTGTCATGCTGGAATACCCATCCACGACCCATTTTCAATGCCCTGGCTGAGGGAAGGAGGTTCTCACCCAAGATTTGATGGTTGATGGTATATGGCCCCGTCCATCGTCCCTTTGATGCGGTGAAGTTGTCCTGTCCCCTTAGCAGAAAAACACCCCCAAAGCATAATGTGTCCACCTCCATTTTAACACGTAGGCTTTCGCGACCAATATTATTCATAATAAAGGTTCTTGGGTTAGATCGCGTTTATTTATAAATGTGTCGTAACCCTCCACCACCCGACACGGCCAATCAGCAAAAAAGTGTCACGTTGACAAAGACAAATAATTCACTACTTCAGCCCACCGGTGTGTTGAAGAGTTAATCCACATTTACAGTTTGAGTACGACGTTTCGCTGGTAAATACTTCCAGCATCATCGGGCAATTCGCCAGAATGGTAAAGCCCTCGCTTGCTCCCGGTTTTATATAGGGCAGCAGGGTGACGTCATCACTTAACTCATCAGGTGCAGTGATTAGAGGCGGAGGGGGGGGTGTAATGTAATTATATAATCGATTAGTAATCAGTCATTGGTTATGATTACTAATCATATAGGGCAGCAGGGTGACGTCATCACTTAACTCATCAGGTGCAGTGATTAGAGGCGGAGGGGGGGGGTGTAATGTAATTATATAATCGATTAGTAATCAGTCATTGGTTATGACGTCACCCTGCTGCTAATCATAACCAATGACTGATTACTAATCGATTATATAATTACATTACACCCCCCCCCTCCGCCTCTAATCACTGCACCTGATGAGTTAAGTGATGACGTCACCCTGCTGCCCTATATAAAACCGGGAGCAAGCGAGGGCTTTACCATTCTGGCGAATTGCCCGATGATGCTGGAAGTATTTACCAGCGAAACGTCGTACTCAAACTGTAAATGTGGATTAACTCTTCAACACACCGGTGGGCTGAAGTAGTGAATTATTTGTCTTTGTCAACGTGACACTTTTTTGCTGATTGGCCGTGTCGGGTGGTGGAGGGTTACGACACATTTATAAATAAACGCGATCTAACCCAAGAACCTTTATTATTTCCACCTCCATGTTTGACGGTCGGGATGTTGTTCTTGGGGTCATAGGCAGCATTTCTCCTCCTCCAAACACGGCGAGTTGAGTTGATGCCAAAGAGCTCCATTTTGGTCTCATCTGACCACAACACTTTCACCCAGTTGTCCTCTGAATCATTCAGATGTACATTGGCAAACTTCAGACGGGCATTTATATGTGCTTTCTTGAGCAGGGGGACCTTACGGGCGCTGCAGGATTTCAGTCCTTCACTGCGTAGTGTGTTACCAATTGTTTTCTTGGTGACTATAGTCCCAGCTGCCTTGAGATCATTGACAAGATCCTCCCGTGTAGTTCTGGGCTGATTCCTCACCGTTCTCATGATCATTGCAACTCCACGAGGTGAGATCTTGCATGGAGCCCCAGGCCGAGGGAGATTGACAGTTCTTTTGTGTTTCTTCCATTTGCGAATAATCGCACCAACTGTTGTTACCTTCTCACCAAGCTGCTTGGCAATGGTCTTGTAGCCCATTCCAGCCTTGTGTAGGTCTACAATCTTGTCCCTGACATCCTTGGAGAGCTCTTTGGTCTTGGCCATGGTGGAGAGTTTGGAATATGGTGGAGAGTTAGGAATATGATTGATTGATTGATTGCTTCTGTGGACAGGTGTCTTTTATACAGGTAACAAGCTGAGATTAGGAGCACTCCCTTTAAGAGTGTGCTCCTAATCTCAGCTCGTTACCTGTATAAAAGACACCTGGGAGTCAGAAATCTTTCTGATTGAGAGGGGGTCAAATACTTATTTCCCTCATTAAAATGCAAATCAATTTATAACATTTTTGACATGCGTTTTTTCTGGATTTTGTTGTTATTCTGTCTCTCACTGTTAATAAACCTACCATTAAAATTATAGACTGATCATTTCTTTGTCAGTGGGCAAACGTACAAAATCAGCAGGGGATTAAATACTTTTTTCCCTCACTGTATGCTCTACAGCTCGGAAGTGCGACATATTTAAGCACAAGCCTGACTTCTACTGATGGGACACTGCAATGCCGAAAGCCAATAAAGTTTCAACAAACGATGTGGTGATGCTGCTGCTGCGTTGGCAGCAGTGGCCCAACAAACACAGTTTACCAAACAGACTTGTACGCTTCTATGCGTGTGTACTGTTATCGGCACTGTTTTGGAGAGAGTGGAGAGGTTTCCCTACCTGGGCAGTGTGCTCATGATCAGCTCCGGTTTGACAGCTGAGGTCTCACTCCGAATCAGTAGACCGGCATTATATTTCCAATGGTTGTGTAATGCTGTGTGGAAGCTACATAGTCTGTTGCTCCACACGAAACTTCGGGTCTTCTCGGCGACAGTCATAATCTCCCTTTCTCTATGGTTGCGAAACGTGGATTCTCCTCATGAAACATCCTTACCAGTTAAAAACATTCAGGCTGGCCTGCGTACGATCCATCCTGGGCCTAACCAGCCTGGATTGTGTGAGGAGCTCATAAATCCTTGAAACATCTGGGGACAGTCCCAACGGTGAGCTCCTCCGGCAGGCAAGACTGCTGCGTTGGCTGGGTCATGTAGTCCGCATTCCCAGCCACCGCATGCCCAAATAGCTTTTGTTCGGCTGAATAGCTAGAAAAGAGATGTAATGATGTGTTGCAAGAGGATATTAAGCTGACTTGACTTGCCAATGACGGAGGCAGCTCGTGAAGGACGCTACTGGGCAGTTGGAGGCAGTCGTCCCCCAGAAACAACGGAGGGCAGAGGAGCGACGCTCACAACAACGAGCAGAGCACCGGGCGGCTGGAACACAGCAAGTTGGCATAGTAGGAGGCACAGGTGGTGCATCTGTCAGTCATCTCAGTCCGTCAACCCATAGCACCTGGGTCTGTCCCGTGACCTTCCAGCGGGCGTTCGACACTTCACGCGGCCTTAAAGTGCACCTAGCCTGGCACAGGCGCCGTGGTGACGTCACCGCCACTTAGTGGCGAATGCCGATTTTTGTACTGTCCTAGGTTGACTCAGCCTTCAATGAGTAGCTGATGCGGTGTGTAAACATCGCCGCTGGGGGACAAAGGCGGCCGGGAGTGGTGCTGGCCACCGACCCCCTCGGGTGCCGTGCCAACCTTCATAGGTGCTCGCGAACAGCACTTGCTCCAAGTCTGTTAAGGCTATAGGGAGGATCTTTACCTTTGTATGTGGGGATTGGTGGCACAGTGGTGAGCGCACTGCGCTATGAGTCTGTGTGTCTCTGTGAAAACACTATCAGATAACATTTCATCCACATATGTCGTTGGGATTAATATTTCACCAGAGTGAGAGATATGGGGGTTGGGGCCCGGAGGGGGGTGGGGGAGGTATGGATAGGAGAGATGTACGGATTGGGGGAGAGAGGGAGCTGTTTGCTGAAACTCGTCTGCCCTTGTGTCTGTGTTCACGCATTCACGGGGTTCCGTGACAGCCATTGCGAAATAGTTTTGCCAAGGGCAAAGTTGGCTGAAACGACACAACTCTGCGGTTCTCTGCATGCGCCTGTGCGTGTATGGTTGAGCTTGCGGGTCTTTCTGTGGCATCAGCTCAGTAGATGGGCCTCTGTTAATTCCCGAGTCAGACTAAGGCTCACAGAGCCAGACTAAGGCACCCATAGGGTTCAGTGTTAATCACTGGGGCTCACAGAGCCAGACTAAGGCTCCCACAGGGTTCAGTGTTAATCACTGGGGCTCACAGAGCCAGACTAAGGCTCCCATAGGGTCCAGTGTTATTCACTGGGGCTCGCAGAGCCAGACTAAGGCTCCCATAGGGCCCAGTGTTATTCACTGAGGCTCACAGAGCCAGACTAAGGCTCCCATAGGGTTCAGTGTTAATCACTGGGGCTCACAGAGCCAGACTAAGGCTCCCATAGGGTCCAGTGTTATTCACTGGGGCTCGCAGAGCCAGACTAGTTCTGTTTATGTATTTCCATTTATTTGGTATAGCCCTGTGAGCCATTCTGATCTTGAATCGGGTGCAATCGCAACAAACAAAAAAACAAAAACATGAACAAGAAAACATCTTAAAGTGACTATGTGACTGTGCAAACAGAAAATACAGGAAAAAATAAAAAAAATCCTGAAACAGCACCGTACACCAACGCTGTGTGCAAAAATCCCAGTTCGGTGTTATTCACTGGGGCTCACAGAGCCAGACTAAGGCTCCCATAGGGTTCGGTGTTAATCACTGAGGCTCACAGAGCCAGACTAAGGCTCCCATAGGGTTCGGTGTTAATCACCGAGGCTCACAGAGCCAGACTAAGGCTCCCATAGGGTTCGGTGTTAATCACTGGGGCTCACAGAGCCAGACTAAGGCTCCCATAGGGCCCGGTGTTATTCACTGAGGCTCACAGAGCCAGACTAAGGCTCCCATAGGGTTCAGTGTTAATCACTGGGGCTCACAGAGCCAGACTAAGGCTCCCACAGGGTTCAGTGTTAATCACTGGGGCTCACAGAGCCAGACTAAGGCTCCCATAGGGCCCAGTGTTATTCACTGGGGCTCACAGAGCCAGACTAAGGCTCGCACTTGGTCAGTGTTACTCACCGAGGCTCTCAGAGCTAGACTAGGGCTTCTATAGGTTTCAGTGTGTAATCGCTAAGGCACACAGAGCCAGACTAAGGCTCTCATATGGTGCAGTGTTAATTACTCGGATCCGGGATCCGTGGTGTGGGGTCTGGAGTTCAGGGTCCGGGGCCTGGCATCTGGGATCCAGGCTCGGGGGTCCTCCTCTAGGTCTAATAAACCTAGGGGAGGCCCGCAACCGGTTCAGATCATTGCCACTGGCGTTGGATGTGAGTGGGAATTGAACTCGGGTGGCCGGGTTCGTAGTACAGCGTGCTAACCACTGCGCCACTCCATGCAGCCTTACACACAGGAGATACCCGAATGAAGCGCGTGTGATGAGGATAAAGTGCACAGTCTCACGAGCTCCAGTGGTCACTTTTAATTGCCGTGCTACGGAGAGTCACGAGCATTTGCATTGCCATTCAAATAATTGCACTCTCTCAAGTCTCGCTCAGAACGCTTGTGCCGCCTGAGCTGGTGTGGGTGCATGCGTCGGCAGCGCATGGTCCTCGAGTCCTGGAGTGTGGGAACTGAGATGACGATGCCCGGACGGACGCCCGGGCACAGTGCAGACGGGGGACTAAGCGCCCGCACGTGCTCCCCCCCGCGGGGCAGCCTCAATCTCGCGGTCACCTCTCGTGACATCGACGCGTTTAACGCAAACACCGCGGTGTGAAAGTTCGGACGCAAACAGCGCCTGCGGTGTCACAAACTCACGAAGCAGCGCCAACCGGGGGTGGTCGTCGTTTACACGTTGGTGAAGTCTCACGAATGTTTCGCTTGGATTCCTGAGCGACATTTTGGGTCACGTAAGTTGTCACGTGTACAAGACAAAAAAGGGGCTCCTTTTTCACTCTCTGTGCGGTCACCAGACTGCGTTCACAGCAGGCTGTGCTCGACACCATCGTGGAGCGTGGCGACGCCACGGCTGAATTTGAAAATGCCAAAGCGTGCACAGGTGCAGTGGTCAGGCACAACGGAGTAACCTTATCCAGAGCGTCGAGTTAACACCTCTCTCCCCCAGTGTCACGAACCCCAAACGACACACAGCGAGGCGCGTAATACCATAGACCGCGTGCGTGTCAACCTACCGGGCTTCCGAGGCCAGGAAGACACTGCAGCGGCGCACGCTTGCCGCTGCTGCGTAGGATTTCACGGCGGAGCTGCGTGGCTCTCCAGTCGCGTCGCCATCGCTGAATGCCGCGCGTGGCTACGCCGGCAGCTTCGTCAGTGACTGAATGTCTTTTTCATTCACGTTTAAAAAAATTCTAACAGCAGACATCGTACCGACCGACAAAACAACACTGGGCACAACCCGAAAATCGCGTGCATGCATTTGTGTGCACGTTGCCTCGAGCGCACGCAGTTTCGTGAAATAGTTTGGCGGAGCAGCGACCGAGTAGACGCGAGATTCCCGAGCGCCGGTCCTTACGACCCACCGGGATAGACGTCTTTCCGGATTCACCAATCTCCTCCGAATAAACCGTCAAGTGATTACGCGATCCATGCCTGATTGCTCAACGCAGTCTAGGTGAGTCATATCGCGATATTGGTGATTTGCATGATCTATATTTGAATTGGTGCTCTCTGCATACACGATGTAGCACGTGTTTAGCAATCAACAGATGCACTCAGGATGTAACATTTCTTTAAATAATGGTATATATTTTTTTAAACTTAAAAAAAACTTTTCCTCAAATGTTATCCTGATTCTGCTATCGGCGACATGTAATAAGGTGAAGATATCGGATCTCTAGCAGAGCAGTGCAACCCTTCGTGTTAAGAGAACGGTCCACAGAAGAGAAGATCACAGGGCTACCGAAGAGATCACTTCTGCCCACACAGTGGAATAGGGCAGTCCTTCCCATTCGTGCGGTTAATGTTTGTCGCGTGAGGTAAGCCAATTTTTTTACTGGCAAATTCAGCACGTGATATAACTTAATGCCAAGGTTTTGTGATGTCATTGATTTACCGGCCTGAAAACACCAACTACTAATCAAGTTTAATCCCAAGGCGGCTAAAACCTCGAAACTAGAACCCAGGATCTCAGTTGTACCGGCTCAGTGCTCTGACCTCCGAGCCACCAGGCATCCTCAGAATAGCTTTATACCCTGAGAGAGAGAGAGGGCCCGTTAATCCAGCGACTTCTACATGTCCCGCCGTGCGCTCCAAACACTGCCATTTGGGGAATGTCCCGAGAGAGGACTGCTAACGCGGCTCTCTTGTGGCGCGGTGGTGCAGGCGAGTGAACAAACGCAAACAGAAGTGAGGGGAGGAGGCAGGGGAGGGGGCAATGGTGGGGGCGGGGTAGTGATGCGGGGGGCAGTAGGGGGGTAGTGGTGGTGCTACTCCATTGGGGGACGTAAGCAGAAATTCAAATGACCAATGTCCCTATGGACCACACAGTAAAAACCACTGTAGTCTGCACTCAACAGAGGAGGAGGAAGAACAGCAAACCTACACGAGCCCTCTCTCCCCTGAGGCCCTCTCGTCGTGGCCAGCAACAGCGGTAGCAGACCTCGACATTGGTTAACATCGAGCTCCTGAACCACATTGCCGCTGTCGCCATCGCGCGCAGGAATAGGCAAAATCGACCAACAACAAGAAATAAAGGCCAAACCCAATTCGTTCAATTGCAGCAGCTGTGCGAAACAATTACGTTAATGGAATATTTATAATGAACATTTCATAATTGAGCTCATGTAGGGCAATGGTAAGCGTCAGGAGTTAAGAGATCGGGCTGTTAGGCTGGGGTGGGCTCTGAGAGACGGTGAGAGCTCCAGATGATATTTGGCGGACGCCTCTCACGAATACTGGGAGCCGCCCTCGACTTGCTTGGGGTCCCTAAACGTCGGCTTACTCGCTCACGCTTCGCGCCACCGCCGCCGCGGCCACCGCCACCCCCGGCGCCGGCGCGACGGGCAGCCGGCAGGGTCAAGGGTCACAGGTTAGCATCGAGCCAGGCCAGGTAGCCGTCGAGCGCCCTCCGCCCGACGGCGAACGCCAGCGGCTGCTGCATGAACTGCATGACCCCGTGGAAGGCGTCGCCCAGGTGGGCGCGGTGCACGGGGACCCCCAGCGCGCCCAGACGCGCCACCAGCATGGCGCCGTCGTCGCGCAGAACGTCGTGCTCGCACGTCAGCACGTAGGTGAGCGGCAGCGCGCGCAGCCAATCGTCGTCTGCGATGGGGGGGGGCCGTGGGGGTGGGGGGAGGGGGGCAAGGGGCGGGGCGGGGTGGGCGACTCGGGGGTCAAATCCGCAGCCTCACTGTCAACCACTCGCCCTCACAATCCACGACACTCAACATCACCGCTTAAAGGCTCAACCGATCGACTTCCCGAACTCGACCAGTCGACCCTCACGCGATGTCCGCAAAGCTTTGCTCTTTGAAAACTCAATGACTCCCAGGCGCGTGGCGTGAAACGTCGGGCATGGTGCCGAACGACGCGCGGCACAACGTGAAAACGAAAAGAGATGCAGCCCCACCATGGTACCACCACGGCATCACCACGGCACCACCACGGCACATCCACGGCACCACGACGACACAACATCCACGGCACCACGACAACCACAGAAGTACTGCGGCACCAAAGCGGTCCGACTGAGGGATAACCGTGGCACTGCCGCGGCAAACCTCCACAGTCACGTGACCCAGCACCGCGCCTCAACGCCGCTGCCGCCGCTGCCCTCTTGTGGCCGAGCTGTCTGCCCCGCGGTGGATGCGAGTCGGGGCACGAGGGATCGGCGGGCGGTGCAGGGCCGGGAACACGAGCAAGTCCCCAAGCACACAGAAGAGAACCGTGGAACTTGTAGCGATCCGCAGACGTGAAGGCGGCGGCGGCGGCGGTGTCGTCATAGCGACGAACCGCTCTGTGACTCAATCATTCTGGCTCGACCACCTCAAATGTGAAATAAAATCTGCTGCTCCATATGAGCATCAGCCGTACGAGGAAGGTACGATGCTTCGTGCACTGCGCTACGAACCTGTACGACCAAGTTCAATTCCTGCTCGTGGCTTACACCATCAGTGGCAAGTGATAGCAGAACCGGTCGAAACAACCTTAAAATTAGTACTTCATGCGGTCAGTAAACATCGCCACTGGGGAGACAAAGGCGGTCAGGCGTGGTGCTGGCCACCCACCCATCGCGTCCCGTGGCTGTCTTAATAGTCGCTCGCTAACGGCGCCGCCTCGCCAGCCTGCCGGGCCTGTACGGTGGGATCTTTGTCATCAGCGTGTGGACGCGCTCACCGGCCAGGAGTGGCGAGGCCCTGGGATCGAGCAGCGCCGGGATCTGGGCCAGGATGTCCGGGCGCGCGGGGCCCACGGGGGGGCCCACGGGGGGGCCCACGGGGGGGCCCACGGGGGAGCCCACGGGGGGCCCCGGCTGGAGGAGGGGAGGCGGCAGCAGCGAGCGCCAGTCGACGAAGGCGCCGGGGCCGCTGGGGTCGAGCAGCACGTGGCGCGAGTGCGCGTTCTCCAGCAGCACGTCCGTCAGCGCCACGTCCCCGCCTGCAGCACGCACGTGGGGCCGCGGTGAGCCGCCGGTGGCGGGGGGAGTCGGCGTGGGTCGTTTCAGCCTTCGTCTGGCTCTCATGGTGAGCCTCGGTGACTTACACCGAGCCCCGTTGGTGGCCCAGGTCTGGCTCTCATGGTGAGCCTCGGTGACTTACACCGAGCCCCGTTGGTGGCCCAAGTCTGGCTCTCATGGTGAGCCTCGGTGACTTACACCGAGCCCCGTTGGTGGCCCAAGTCTGGCTCTCATGGTGAGCCTCGGTGATTTACACCGAGCCCCGTTGGTGGCCCAAGTCTGGCTCTCATGGTGAGCCTCGGTGATTTACACCGAGCCCCGTTGGTGGCCCAGGTCTGGCTGTCATGGTGAGCCTCGGTGATTTACACCGAGCCCCGTTGGTGGCCCAGGTCTGGCTGTCATGGTGAGCCTCGGTGATTTACACCGAGCCCCGTTGGTGGCCCAGGTCTGGCTCTGCGAGCCTCTCTGTAAGTAACATTGAAACCTCGAGGATTGTTGCTACATCACGGGACCTCCTTTGCCAGGACCAACATATGAGAAGAGGTTTTCCCATTGTTTCTGGCAACAAAACAGTTGTGTTAAGATGTTAAAACACCAAACTGAAACCTTTTACGAGGAATCATGTCTGCATTAACCACAATGCTTGTGGTCAGAATGCAAACAAAAAACAAACTCTGATAATATATGAATTGTCTTTGAAACTGATTGGTCCACACCACAGACAGCTTTCTTTTAAGCCTCATCTCAAACGGTGTTAGACGCCAAAAGGCGTGGACCAATCATTTTCAAAGACAATGCACATATGTTTCGATTTAAAGCTTTCGTGACTGCAATGATTCATCTTCTTTGGTTCTTTCGGTAAAGTCACGTAGAATGAGAATAAAATAATAAATTGATAAAATAAAATAACACAATAATATTCTCACGACGTTTCGGCCACAACACAAGCGGCCTTCATCAGGTGAAGGGACGAGACTGTCTGGTAGGACAGCGCTGGAGTGAAAGAGCCACGTTCAGATCACGGCCTTTAAGCTGTGTGAGAGGAACAAAGCGTCCTCAACTTTAGCACCACGGATAGCTGCGACTCTAAGCTATCCGTGGTGCTAAAGTTGAGGGCGCTTTGTTCCTCTCACACAGCTTAAAGGCTGTGATCTGAACGTGGCTCTTTCACTCCAGCGCTGTCCTACCAGACAGTCTCGTCCCTTCACCTGATGAAGGCCGCTTGTGTTGTGGCCGAAACGTCGTGAGAATATTATTGTGTTATTTTATTTTATCAATTTATTATTTTATTATCATTCTACGTGACTTTACCGAAAGAACCAAAGAAAATGCACATATGACCACAAGTATTGTGGTTAATGCAGACATGATTCCTTGTAAAAGATTCCAGTTTGGTGTTTTAACATCTTAACACCTGCTTTGTTGCCAGATAAAAGGGAAAACCTATTCACATAGGATTGTTGTTGTTTGTTGTTGTTGTTGTTGTTTGTTGTTGTTGTTTTGTATCATTTCTATTACGACTCAACGCGAGCCCCGGTTCAAAAGCACCGACCACCGAACGGAGGGGAGAAAAATAAATTCCGCGAAGCAGCAGCCTCGAGTTCGGCGGGGCGACGAAGGGGGAGGACTGGGGGGCTCACTACCCCACCCAGGCGGGGACCACTAGCGGGGGGACCTGAAGGTTTATACGGGGGGCGGGGGGAGGGAGGGCAAGGGGGAAGATAACGAACGTAACGGGAATTAGAAAGGGACAGGGGAGAGGAGAGGAAGTGGTGGGACCGGCGGGAAGGTGGGGGGGAGAGAAGGGGGGGGGGGAGGGAGAGAGAAGGGGGGGCGGAGGGAGAGAGAAGGGGGAGGGTAAAAGAGGACAAAACATATCTGAGCTACTCGTGAACTATCGCCCCCACGCAGCAGACCCAGTGGGATTTGAACGTTCCGGACGTTCCGGCTCGGGTCCCCCGTATCGTGGGTCGGCAGTGGCGGATCTGGTCAGGAGCTGCCCACCGCTCCCGCGGAATGTCCGAGGCGGGCGGCGCCGGGCGCTCACCCAGGTACTGGAGCCAGAAGCGCACCATGGTGCGCCCGTAGAGGATGGGGACGTGAGCGCTCTCTCGGTACGACGGCGTCTGGAAGTCGAGAGCCTGCAGCACCGGGTAGATGAGCGCCTGAAGCTTGAGGCTCGCCGAGCCTTCCTCTGGCTCCCGCGCCAGCTGCGGTTCACGCAGACACGAGACGGAGAGAGATAGTGAGCGATGGAGGCAGGCACAGGGAAAGAGACGAGAGCCACACACGCAGATAGACACGGTGATAGAGACAGAGAAAGACCCACACACACACAGGTAGACACAGTGATAGAGACAGAGAAAGACCCACATACACACAGATAGACACAGTGATAGAGACAGAGGAAGACCCACATACACACAGATAGACACAGTGATAGAGACAGAGGAAGACCCACATACACACAGAGAGACACAGTGATAGAGACAGAGGAAGACCCACATACACACAGATAGACACAGTGATAGAGACAGAGAAAGACCCACATACACACAGATAGACACAGTGATAGAGACAGAGGAAGACCCACATACACACAGGTAGACACAGTGATAGAGACAGAGGAAGACCCACATACACACAGATAGACACAGTGATAGAGACAGAGAAAGACCCACATACACACAGGTAGACACAGTGATAGAGACAGAGAAAGACCCACATACACACAGATAGATACAGGGATACAGATACAGAGAGCGACAGGTTGATAGAGGCAGGCTCAAGGATAAAGATGAGAGAGAGCCACACGCACAGATAGACAAAGCGATAAAGACAGACAGAGAGACGCAGAGACAGCCGCAGGGAGACCCACAGAGAGAGAGGCACACAGACAGACAGACACAGACAGAAAGACACACAGACAGAGAGACACACAGACAGAGACACACAGACAGGAGACACACAGACAGGAGACACACAGACAGGAGACACACAGACAGAGAGACACAAACAGGAGACCCACAGACAGAGACGCACACAGAGAGACACACAGAGAGACACACAGACAGAGAGACACACAGACAGGAGACACACAGACAGGAGACACACAGACAGGAGACACACAGACAGAGAGACACAGACAGGAGACCCACAGACAGAGAGACACACAGACAGAGAGACACACAGAGAGACACACAGACAGAAGACACAGACAGACAGACACAGACAGAAAGACACACAGACAGAGAGACACACAGACAGAGAGACACACAGACAGAGAGACACACAAACAGGAGACACACACACAGACAGACACAGACAGAAAGACACACAGACAGAGAGACACACAGACAGAGAGACACAGACAGAGAGACACACAGACAGAGAGACACAGACAGAAAGACACACAGACAGAGACACACAGACAGAGACACACACAGACAGAGAGACACACAGACAGAGACACACAGACAGAGACACACACAGAGACACACACAGACAGAGAGACACACAGAGAGACACACAGACAGAAGACACAGACAGACAGACACAGATAGACAGACACAGACAGAAAGACACACAGACAGAGAGACACACAGACAGAGAGACACACAGACAGAGAGACACACAAACAGGAGACACACAGACAGACAGAGAGACACACAGACAGAGAGACACAGACAGAAAGACACACAGACAGAGACACACAGACAGAGACACACACAGACAGAGAGACATACAGACAGAGACACACAGACAGAGACACACACAGAGACACACACAGACAGAGAGACACAGATAGAGAGACACACAGACAGAGACACATAGACAGAGACACACAGACAGAGAGACACACAGACAGAGAGACACACAGACAGAGAGACACAGACAGAGAGACACACAGACAGAGAGACACAGACAGACAGACACAGACAGAAAGACACAGACAGAGAGACACACAGACAGAGAGACACACAGACAGAGAGACACACAGACAGAGAGACACATAAACAGGAGACAGACAGACAGACAGACACAGACAGAAAGACACACAGACAGAGAGACACACAGACAGAGAGACACAGATAGACACAGACAGAGAGACACACAGACAGAGAGACACAGACAGAAAGACACACAGACAGAGACACACAGACAGAGACACACACAGACAGAGAGACACACAGACAGAGAGACACACAGACAGAGACACACAGACAAGAGACACACAGACAGAGAGACACAAACAGGAGACCCACAGACAGAGAGGCACACAGAGAGACACACAGAGAGACACACAGACAGAGAGACACACAGACAGGAGACACACAGACAGGAGACACACAGACAGGAGACACACAGACAGAGAGACACAGACAGGAGACCCACAGACAGAGAGACACACAGACAGAGAGACACACAGAGAGACACACAGACAGAAGACACAGACAGACAGACACAGACAGAAAGACACACAGACAGAGAGACACACAGACAGAGAGACACACAGACAGAGAGACACACAAACAGGAGACACACAGACAGACAGACACAGACAGAAAGACACACAGACAGAGAGACACACAGACAGAGAGACACACAGACAGACAGACACAGACAGAGAGACACACAGACAGAGAGACACAGACAGAAAGACACACAGACAGAGACACACACAGAGACACACACAGACAGAGAGACACACAGAGAGACACACAGACAGAAGACACAGACAGACAGACACAGACAGAAAGACACACAGACAGAGAGACACACAGACAGAGAGACACACAGACAGAGACACACACAGACAGAGAGACACACAAACAGGAGACACACAGACAGAGAGACACAGACAGAGATACACACAGACAGAGACACACAGACAGAGACACACAGACAGAGAGACACACAGACAGAGAGACACACAGACAGAGAGACACACAGACAGGAGACACACAGACAGGAGACACACAGACAGGAGACACACAGACAGAGAGACACAGACAGGAGACCCACAGACAGAGAGACACACAGACAGAGAGACACACAGAGAGACACACAGACAGAAGACACAGACAGACAGACACAGACAGAAAGACACACAGACAGACACACAGATAGAGAGACACACAGACAGACAGACACAGACAGAGACACACACAGACAGAGAGACACACAGACAGAGACACACACAGAGACACACACAGACAGAGAGACACACAGAGAGACACACAGACAGAGAGACACACAGACAGACAGACACAGACAGAGAGACACACAGACAGAGAGACACACAGACAGAGAGACACAGACAGAGAGACACACAGACAGAGACACACAGACAGAGACACACAGACAGAGAGACACACAGACAGAGAGACACACAGACAGAGAGACACACAGACAGAGAGACACAGACAGAGAGACACACAGACAGAGAGACACAGACAGGAGACCCATAGACAGAGAGACACACAGACAGGAGACACAGACAGACAGACACAGACAGAGAGACACACAGACAGAGAGACACACAGACAGAGAGACACACAGACAGAGAGACACACAGACAGAGAGACACACAGACAGAGAGACACACAGACAGAGAGACACACAGACAGAGAGACACATAAACAGGAGACAGACAGACAGACAGACAGACAGACACAGACAGAAAGACACACAGACAGAGAGACACACAGACAGAGAGACACACAGACAGAGAGACACACAGACAGAGGCACACACAGACAGAGGCACACACAGACAGAGACACACACAGTCAGAGACACACAGACAGAGAGACACACAGACAGAGAGACACACAGACAGATAGACACACAGACAGAGAGACACACAGACAGAGAGACACACAGACAGAGAGACACAGACAGAGACACACACAGACAGAGACACACACAGACAGAGACACACAGACAGAGAGACACACAGACAGAGAGACACACAGAAAGACAGACACAGACAGAGAGACACAGAGACAGAGAGACACAGACAGAGAGACACACAGACAGAGAGACACACAGACAGAGACACACAGACAGAGACACACAGACAGAGAGACACACAGACAGAGAGACACACAGACAGAGACACACAGAGATAGAGACACACACACAGAGACACACACAGACAGAGAGACACACAGACAGAGACACACACAGAGACACACACAGACAGAGAGACACACACAGACAGAGAGACACACAGAGAGACACACAGACAGAGAGACACACAGACAGAGAGACACACAGACAGAGAGACACAGAGACAGAGAGACAAACGGACAGAGACACACACAGACAGAGACACACACAGAGACACACACAGACAGAGAGACACACAGAGAGACACACAGAGAGACACACAGACAGAGACACACACAGACAGAGACACACAGACAGAGAGACACACAGACAGAGACACACAGACAGAGAGACACACAGACAGACAGACACAGACAGAGAGACACAGAGACAGAGAGACACAGAGACAGAGAGACACACAGACAGAGAGACACACAGACAGAGACACACAGACAGAGACACACAGACAGAGAGACACACAGACAGAGAGACACACAGACAGAGACACACAGAGATAGAGACACACACAGAGACACACACAGACAGAGACACACACAGACAGAGACACACACAGACAGAGACACACACAGACAGAGGCACACACAGACAGAGACACACAGACAGAGAGACACACAGACAGAGACACACACAGACAGAGAGACACACAGACAGAGACACACACAGAGACACACACAGACAGAGAGACACACACAGACAGAGAGACACACAGAGAGACACACAGACAGAGAGACACACAGACAGACACAGACAGAGAGACACACAGACAGAGACACACACAGAGACACACAGACAGAGAGACACACAGAGAGACACACAGAGAGACACACAGACAGAGACACACACAGACAGAGACACACAGACAGAGAGACACACAGACAGAGACACACAGACAGAGAGACACACAGACAGACAGACACAGACAGAGAGACACAGAGACAGAGAGACACAGAGACAGAGAGACACACAGACAGAGAGACACACAGACAGAGACACACAGACAGAGACACACAGACAGAGAGACACACAGACAGAGAGACACACAGACAGAGACACACAGAGATAGAGACACACACACAGAGACACACACAGACAGAGAGACACACAGACAGAGACACACACAGACAGAGACACACACAGACAGAAACACACAGACAGAGAGACACACAGACAGAGACACACACAGACAGAGAGACACACAGACAGAGACACACACAGAGACACACATAGACAGAGAGACACACACAGACAGAGAGACACACAGAGAGACACACAGACAGAGAGACACACAGACAGACACAGACAGAGAGACACACAGACAGAGATACACACAGACAGAGACACACAGACAGAGACACACACAGACACAGAGACACACAGACAGAGAGACACAGAGACAGAGAGACACACAGACAGAGACACACACAGACAGAGACACACACAGAGACACACACAGACAGAGAGACACACAGAGAGACACACAGAGAGACACACAGACAGACACACACAGACAGAGACACACAGACAGAGAGACACACAGACAGAGACACACAGACAGAGACACACAGACAGAGAGACACAGACAGAGAGACACACAGACAGAGACACACACAGAGATACAACAACAACAACCGCCATTCGCCACTAAGTGGCGGTGACGTCACCACGACGCTTGTGCCAGGCTATGTGCACCCTGAGGCCACGTGAAGTATCGAACGCCCGCTGGCAGGAGGTCATGGGGCAGACCCAGGTGCCACGGGTCGACTGACTGATGACTGGCTGATGCACCACCTGTGCCCCCTACTGTGCCAACCTGCTGTGCTTTAGCCACCCGGCGCTCCGCTCGTTGTTCTGAGCGTCGCTCCTCCGCCCTCCGTTGTTGTTGGAGGGCGACTACCTCCAACTGCCCAGTAGCGTCCTTCACGAGCCTCCTCCACAGAGGCCGATCTTGACACCGCTGGTACCAGTCATCGGCAAGTCCACTCAGCTCCACGTCCTCCTGTACCACATCACTTCATCTTTTCTCTAGCCCGTGCCGCGCCCGCTTAGCCCCCTCAATCCGGCCGAACAAAAGCTGTTTTGGCATGCGGTGGCTGGGCATGCGGGCTACATGACCCAGCCATCGTAGCCTTCCCCGCCGGAGGTGCTCACCGATGGGACCTTGCCCAGATCTTTCAAGGATTAGTGAGCTCCTCACACAATCCAGTCTGGTTAAACCCAGGATGGATTGTAGGCAGGCCAGCCTAAATGTTTCTAACCGGCGAAGATGTTCCATTAGGGGGGTCCACGTTTCGCAAGCGTAGAGAAGGGAGGGAATGACCGTGGCCGAGAAGACCTGAAGCTTAGTGCGGAGCGACAGACCAGGTAGCTTCCACACAGCGTTACGCAACCTATGAAAAGATATTGCCGCTCGACTGATTCGGAGTGAGACCTCTGCTGTTAAACTGGAGCCGGTCATAAGCACACTGCCCAGGTATGGGAAACTCTCCACTCTCTCCACAACTGCCCCATCACCGATTGGAAGTTGTGGGGGTGGAGTGTCCGATGGTATAAAATACCCAGGCAGGTGCTTAGTTTTGGTGGGGCTGATGGTAAGGCCCCACCTCTTAGTGGTACGCTCCAGTCTCAGCAGCAGCATCTCCAACTCCTCCTCTGAATGAGCAGCTATTACCAAATCATCAGCATACATAATGTGGTTGAGCAATAGGGAGCCATCCCTTGACTGCACCCGGGCATCGATCAGCCTCCCATTATATCTGTACCATATGGAGATTCCCCCGGTACAGCTATTGAAGGCTTCACGAACTACGTGGTCAAAAAAGATGTTAAATAATGTGGGAGCCAGAGGACATCCCTGTCGCACCCCAAGGTGTACAGGAAATGGCTCTGACTCCCGGCCACGTAGTTTTACCCGGGCCCGCTCACCACCATGAAGGTCCTTAATGATCGCGAGCAGAGGGTCAGGTACCCCAATAGCACGAAGAACAACCCAGAGCCCAGGCCTACTGATGGTATCATAGGCCTTGACCAGGTCAATAAAGCTGAGATGTAGGTCTTGTTGGAATTCCCTACACCTCTGCTGTAGCAGACGGACAGAAAATATGGCATCTGTGCCGGACCGCCCTTTCCTGAAACCGCATTGGGGCTCCGCAAGCCTCTCCTCAGCGTGCCTGGCAAGGCGATGCTGAATAATCCTTGCCAGGACCTTTCCCAGCACACTGAGGAGTGAGATGCCCCTGTAGTTGTTACAGTCTGTGCGGTCCCCCTTCTTAAAAAGGGGGACCACCAGTGCATCTTCCAATCCTGCGGAACCCGTCCAGTGGTCCAGACCATTGTTATGATGTCATATAGGGCAGTCTGTGCACAAACGCCACCCTTCCTCAGCATTTCGCTTGGGAGATCATCTCTGCCCACTGCCTTTCCTAGTCTCAGACTCCGGATTGCCTTCAGTACTTCCTCAACAGATGGCACCTCAGCCAGCTACTCACAGGGGGTGACTTCTTCCAATATTTGAGGCACCGCAGCCTCAGCAGGGTCATCCTCACTTTGTGCCACGATGTTTTCCTGGCTGAGGGATTTTCCCTCCCCCAGGACCTCACAGAAATGCTCAGCAAATCTGCAAACCTGTTCCTGGGGGTCTGAGATTGGATCACCGTTTTTTCCCCTAAAGATGGTAATAGGTGTGGCGCTGCAGGTTACTTTTTTGATGGAGTTAAATAGAGATTTGTGATCACGGGCCACTGAGGCAGACTCCATCTCCTCAGCAACCCGTGACCACCACCCATCCTTGCAGCGCCTCACGGCTCTCCGAACCTCCGAGCGAAGGCTGCGGTAAACCTCCTCATTCTCTGACGTGGGATTCTTTAACCGATGACAGTGGGCCTGTCGCTTTTTCTCAACCATCCTGAACACCTCCTCTGTCAGCCAGGGTCTCTGGGGAGGTCTGGACCGCGTACCCAAAGCAGCCATTGCAGCTGCATGAGTCACAGTCCTAAACCTCGCCCATTTACCCTCAACATCAGGAGAAGTCGGGGACGATGCCAATCCCAGCCGCAAGCGATGATGAAATTCTCGCTTGCAACTTTCATCAGATAACTGAGACCAGGCCACTTTAGGTTGGAATGGGGTCCTGGGTGTACACCCACCACTGGAGTGGAAGAATGGCAGGCGCATCTTACAGATGACTAGTCGATGGTCAGAGGGCAGATCTGCTCCACGGTTGCTCCTGGTGTCAAGGACATGGGCTCGTATCCACTGGTCCGTCACTATGTAGTCCAGCAGATGTTCTTGCTTGGACCCGGCATGCATCCATGATGTTGTGTGGATGCGCCGATGCCGGAACAGCGTGTTGGTAATTACAAGCCCATGGGCTGCACAAAAATCTAGCAGCCTCCTACCGTTGTTATTGAGCTGATCTGGCCCATGCCCTCCAATCACTCCAGACCAGGTGCCAGTATCATGACCAACTCGGGCATTGAAGTCACCCAACATGATGGCTCTATCCCGAGGGGCCACTTTAGCCAGCACCTGTGACAGGAGGTCATAGAAGGCATCTGACTCATCGGCTTTGCCTGCATCCCTCCACGGATGTTCATCTTCGGTGGGGGCATAAGTAACCACGACCACCATTCCTCGCCTCCAGTTGATGGGAAGGCGAGCCCAAAGTAGCCTGGGGCTTACAGCTTCCCACACAGAGACACACACAGACAGAGACACACAGAGAGACACAGACAGAGACACACACAGACAGAGACACACACAGACAGAGAGACACACAGACAGAGAGACACACAGACAGAGACACACAGACAGAGAGACACACAGACAGAGAGACACACAGACAGAGAGACACACAGACAGAGGCACACACAGACAGAGACACACACAGTCAGAGACACACAGACAGAGAGACACACAGACAGAGAGACACACAGACAGAGAGACACAGACAGAGACACACACAGACAGAGACACACACAGACAGAGACACACAGACAGAGAGACACACAGACAGAGAGACACACAGACAGAGATACACAGACAGAGACACACACAGACAGAGACACACACAGACAGAGACACACAGACACAGAGACACACACAGACAGAGAGATACACACACAGAGACACACAGACAGACAGACACACAGACAGAGACACACAGACAGACAGACACACACAGACAGAGACACACACAGAGACACACAGACAGAGACACACACAGACACAGAGACACACACAGACACAGAGACACAGACAGAGACACACAGACAGAGACACACAGACAGAGACACACACAGAGTCACACAGACACAGACAGAGACACACAGACAGAGCGGCCCCACCTGCAGAGCCACGGCCACTGCGAGGTTCCCGCCGGCGCTGTCCCCCGAGATGGCGACGCGCGCGGGGTCCACGGAGAAGGCCGCCAGCGTGTCGTGCCGCAGGAAGTGCCGCGCGGCGCGCAGGCAGTCCTCCAGCGGCACGGGGAAGCGGTGCTGCGGCACCAGGCGGTAACTACGGTTGGGGGGGGGGGGGGGTCACGGCGTGAAAGAGGAGGAGGCGGTCGCCTTCCCGGGGCAACAGCTTCCCGCCGGCAACTCGCTTAGGCAACCGCCGGGTCCGTCCGTCGCCGGGCGGCGACGTGGCCTGGCGGCGTGCGCCCTCGACCGCTGGCCACGGAGACTCGCAGTTCCAATCCGGCGGCCCTCCCCATCAATGCTGCCCGGTGCGTCGCCAATTCGGGCATGTGCAGCCGGCTCCGCGGTGGACGTTAAAGACGCCGTCGTGCCCCAGCGTCATCAGCGGTGCCGCGCTGGGCGCGGCTTGCGAGGGGGTTTCCCGCCTTCAGGAGGCGAGCGTGGGCCCGGATAACCGACCACGATAGTGCGGCCGGTAACACGTGGCCAGAGCCGCCGGGAGGATTCGGTCGGCCAAGGGTCCCCACTGTCTTGACGACCCTCGGGCCCACGGGAGACCGTCGGTCGTGCGGGAGGGGACAGCAAGGGGAGAACGGCTGGGAGGAGGGAGGAGGGTGAAGGAGGGAGGAGGAGGGTGGAGGAGGGAGGAGGAGGATGGAGGAGGGTGGAGGGAGGAGGAGGGAGGAGGAGGGTGGAAGAGGGAGGAGGAGGGTGGAGGAGGGTGGAGGAGGAGGGTGGAGGAGGAGGGTGGAGGAGGGTGGAGGGTGGAGGAGGGAGGAGGGTGGAGGAGGGAGGAGGAGGGAAGAAGGAGGAGGGTGGAAGAGGGAGGAGGAGGGTGGAAGGGGAAGGAGGGTGGAGGGAGGAGGAGGGTGGAGGGAGGAGGAGGGAGGAGGAGGGAAGAAGGAGGAGGGTGGAAGAGGGAGGAGGAGGGTGGAGGGAGGAGGAGGGAGGAGGAGGGAAGAAGAAGGAGGAGGTGCTCACTCGACCGAGATGACGACGGCGTCCAGGCTGCTCGCCATCTCGCGGCACTGGGAGTCATAGCCCCTCTCCTCTGCACGCGGGCAGCGGGGGCGTGGATATGATGCACACACACACACAGCCAAACGTCATGACAAAAAGGCCCCCTGCACAGCCTACACAGACGCTGGGGTAGACCGCTGTTCGCAAGCACCAATGCGAGAGAGCGAATTCTGCACGGCGGTGGAGGCGCGTTACAATTCGACATTACCATGACGAATGTCAGTGCATGTGTCTCTTGAGTTTCCACGTGCATGTCAGTATTATTGCCTGTGTGTAAGTGGCTGTGAACGCGGGTGTGTATGTGGGTGTGTGTAGTGGAGCGGTTAGCCCGCTGTGCTACGGACCCGGCGACCTGAGTTCGATTCTTGCTCACGGCCAACACCAGTGACGATTATCTGAACTGGTCATGGGCCTCGCCTAGGTAGACTCAGCCTCAAATGAGTACCTGGTGCAGTGTGTAAACATCGCCACTAGGGGGACAAAGGCGGCCGGGGAGTGGTGGCCACCGGCCCCCTTGTAGGTGCTCGCTAACAGCACTTGCCCCAACAGTCGGTTAAGGCTATATGGAAGATCTTTGTATGTGGGAAGTGGTAGCATAGTGGTTAGTGCAGTGCGCTATGAGTCTGTGTGTCTCTATGAAAACACTATCATCAGATATTATTTCATCCACATATGTCGGGATCTTTGTTTTTTTGTTGTGGGTGTGTATGCGTGGGTGTCTGCTACAGGCAAAGCCGATGAGTCAGATGCCTTCTATGACCTCCTGTCACAGGTGCTGGCTAAAGTGGCCCCTCGGGATAGAGTCATCATGTTGGGTGACTTCAATACCCGAGTTGGTCATGATGCTGGCACCTGGTCTGGAGTGATTGGAGGGCATGGGCCAGATCAGCTCAATAACAACGGTAGGAGGCTCCTAGATTTTTGTGCAGCCCATGGCCTTGTAATTACCAACACGCTGTTCTGGCATCGGCGCATCCACACAACATCATGGATGCATGCCGGGTCCAAGCAAGAACATCTGCTGGACTACATAGTGACGGACCAGCAGATACAAGCCCATGTCCTTGACACCAGGACCTACCGTGGAGCTGATCTGCCCTCTGACCATCGACTAGTCATCTGTAAGATGCGCCTGCCGTTCTTCCACTCCGGCGGTGGGTGTACACCCAGGACTCCATTCCAACCTAAAGTGGCCTGGTCTCAGTTATCTGATGAAAGTTGCAAGCGAGAATTTCATCATCGCTTGCGGCTGGGGTTGGCATCGTCCCCCACACCTCCTGATGTCGAGGGTAAATGGGCGAGGTTTAGGACTGTGACTCATGCAGCTGCAATGGCTGCTTTGGGTACGCGGTCCAGACCTCCCCAGAGACCCTGGCTGACAGAGGAGGTGTTCAGGATGGTTGAGAAAAAGCGACAGGCCCACTATCAGCGGCTACAGAATCCCACGTCAGAGAATGAGGAGGCTTACCGCAGCCTTCGCAAGGAGGTTTGGAGAGCCGTGAGGCGCTGCAAGGATGGGTGGTGGTCACGGGTTGCTGAGGAGATGGAGTCTGCCTCAGTGGCCCGTGATCACAAATCTCTATTTAACTCCATCAAAAAAGTAACCTGCAGGGCCACACCTATTACCATCATTAGGGGAAAAAACGGTGATCCAATCTCCGACCCCCAGGAACAGGTTTGCAGATTTGCTGAGCATTTCTGTGAGGTCCTGGGGGAGGGGAAATCCCTCAGCCAGGAAAACATCGTGGCACAAAGTGGGGATGACCCTGCTGAGGCTGCGGTGCCTCAAATATTGGAAGAAGTCACCCCCTGTGAGTGGCTGGCTGAGGTGCCATCTGTTGAGGAAGTACTGAAGGCGATCCGGAGTCTGAGACCAGGAAAGGCACCGGGCAGAGATGATCTCCCCAGCGAAATGCTGAGGGAGGGTGGCGTTTGTGCACAGACTGCCCTATATGACATCATAACAACAGTCTGGACCACTGGACAGGTTCCGCAGGATTGGAAGGATGCCCTGGTGGTCCCCATCTTTAAGAAGGGAGACCGCACAGACTGTAACTACAGGGGCATCTCACTCCTCAGTGTGCCGGGAAAGGTCCTGGCAAGGATTATTCAACATCGCCTTGCCAGGCACGCTGAGGAGAGGCTTGTGGAGCCCCAATGCGGTTTTAGGAAAGGGCGGTCCTGCACGGATGCCAAATTTTCTGTCCGTCCGCTACAGCAGAGGTGTAGGGAATTCCAGCAAGACCTACATCTCTGCTTTATTGACCTGGTCAAGGCCTATGATACCATCAGTAGGCCTGGGCTCTGGGTTGTTCTTCGTGCTTTTGGAGTACCTGACCCTATGCTCACGATCATTAAGGACCTTCATAATGGTGAGCGGGCCCGGGTAAAACTACGTGGCCGGGAGTCAGAGCCATTCCCTGTACACCTTGGGGTGCGACAGGGATGTCCTGTGGCTCCCACATTATTTAACATCTATTTTGACCACGTAATTCGTGAAGCCTTCAATAGCTGTACCGGGGGAATCTCCATATGGTACAGATATAATGGGAGGCTGATCGATGCCCAGGTGCGGTCAAGGGATGGCTCCCTATTGCTCAACCACGTTATGTATGCCGATGATTTGGTAATAGCTGCTGATTCAGAGACGCTGCTGTTGAGACTGGAGCGTGCTACTAAGAGATGGGGCCTTACCATCAGCCTCACCAAAACTAAGCACCTGCCTGGGTATTTTGTACCATCGGACACTCCACCCCCACAACTCCCAATCGGTGATAGGGCAGTTGTGGAGAGAGTGGAGAGTTTCCCATACCTGGGCAGTGTGCTCATGACCGGCTCCGGTTTAACAGCAGAGGTCTCACTCCGAATCAGTCGAGCGGCATTATCTTTTCATCGGTTGCGTAACGCTGTGTGGGAGCTACCTGGACTATCACTCCGCACGAAGCTTCAGATCTTCTCGGCCACGGTCATTCCCTCCCTTCTCTATGCTTGCGAAACGTGGACCCCCCTAATGGAACATCTTCGCCGGTTAGAAACATTTAGGCTGGCCTGCCTACGATCCATCCTGGGTTTAACCAGGCTGGATTGTGCGAGGAGCTCACAAATCCTCGAAAGATCTGGACAAAGTCCCATCAGTGAGCACCTCTGGCAGGCAAGGCTGCGTTGGCTGGGCCATGTAGCCCGCATGCCCAATCACCGCATGCCCAAACAGCTTTTGTTCGGCCGGATAGGGGCTAAATGGGCGCGGCACGGGTTAGAGAAGAGATGCAATGTGGTACAAGAGGACGTGGAGCTGAGTGGACTTGCTGATGACTGGTACCAGCTGTGTCAAGAGGGCGGAGGAGCGACGCTCACAACAACGAGCGGAGCGCCGGGTGGCTAAAGCACAGCAAGTTGGCACAGTAGGGCGCACAGGTGGTGCATCAGCCAGTCATCTCAGTCAGTCGACCCTTGGCACTTGGGTCTGCCCCGTAACCTCCTGCCAGCGGGCGTTCGACACTTCACGTGGCCTCAAGATGCACGTGGCCTGGCACAAGCGCCGTGGTGACGTCACCGCCACTTTGTGGCGAATGGCGGTTCTTGTTGTTGTTGTGTCTGTGTGGGTGTGTGTGCGCGCCCCGCCGTGCGTGACCCACGCGCCCCGCTGAGCGCCCACCCTCCCCCGTGCAGGTAGACCACGGCGCGCTTGGGGGGGCCCCCGCCGCCGCCGCCGCTGTCGCCGCCGCGCGTGGACGTGAACGCGCGCACGCGCACGCCGCCCAGCTCGGCGTCGCGCACCAACACCGCGGCGTCGGAGTGCGCGGGCACACGCGCCACGCGCGAGATGATCGTCTGCAGGAAGGTGACCTGGTCGCACAGCCCCAGCCGCTCGGTCAGCGTGCCCTGGGGTGGGGGGGAGGGGGGAATGTCACAACGGGGGAGGGGGGGTTGGGTGAAAGGAGGGGGGCAGTGGTCACCGGACACGAGGGTGGGGTGGATGCGCCGTGACGAGACACATTGATTGAGAGCGATGCAATGAAACACGCAGCAATTGAACACGGTCACAGAGTGAGACGCCTGCATCCTGCTGCCCCTCCCCCACCCACCCCAACAATTAGTAGCCACTCAAAATAATAACTGTCACGTGCGATGGCAGCAGAAATGTGTTCAGGAGTTAAGATGCCGACGCCGAGGGGGGGGTCTGCTTGCCACGACGAGAGGGGCACAATAAGTGGCGTAGCCTAGCAGTGGATAGGGCAAGGAATGAATCAAACATCTTTATTTTAGGCTTGGAGGAATCTGCTAAGCTATGAAGCAAGTTACAGCAGCACACGATGCAAACAAAAAACGATAGACGTGCAAAACAGAGAGAAAGGCAACCAAGTGACTAAATATATAAATATATAAATGACTCGTTATATAAGTCCGAATGGAGCCGAGCTAGGAATGCCGTGAGACCTGGTGAGGTGACCCAATCAATTCTCACGGATTATTATGAAGGTATTACTATTCACTGCTGCTGCGTTTGGGCAATGGTGCGAGGCACGAATAGCAACGCAACTCCACGGATGAACACCCCAGCACCACGCGCGTCCTCCGCAGGCTAATGCGGGCACACAGAGGCGCCCACTGTATACGGCCCAAGCCGATGAGCCACCGCGCCACAATGGGCCCCCTTGAGCCCAGACAGTGCTCCAGTAATTCTTGAAAATCACGATCCAGCTAAAGACAACTACACCCAGCTCCTCCTCCTCCTGCACTAACATTTCCACGTGAAGGGAGTCGACCACATCCATAACGACGGCAATAATGGCAACACAGAGGCGTTAGGAGGAACCACAGCCGAGCGGGAAGGCAGCAGCAGCAGCCACACGGTGATGAATCAGCGCTACAAGCGATTGCCCAAGCTCCGAGGTCCTCCATATGTTAAGGTGTTATCAGCCAATTGATGAGCGTTTATACGCGAGCGGAAACCGGAGCAAACCAGAGAAAGCCCGCACGTGTGCAAGGGGGAAACGCTCTATCCCACACAGACGGGACAGGTGGAGCCTGCCAGCTGTATCGCCCCATGGGATATTTTGTGGGTTCAACCAACCCTCGCCTCTGCAGCGTCGCCACTGCTACCGCCACCCGGCTAAACAGGTAGAGGTGCAGCCCTGAAATGTCTCGTTCGCGCCACTGCTGGCGGAAGAGTCTCCACGAACGCGTGGTGAAGTATGGTCAAACCGTAGTTTACGCGGTGGCAGAGAGACAGAGCGAGGGTTAATTTCCACCTGTCCAGTAATTGGCATCTGTGTGTCGGGTGGTGGGAATTGATTTTGTAGCTCAGATCTGGTACCGGCGTTGTTGCCGTGTTGAACTTAATCACAGTAGACCGTACAGTGTAGTTTTTTTTTGTCGTAGCCCAAGGCCTATTGAGAGAGACATCCGGGCTTCGTCTCCACTGGAAAAGGCGGCGATCGTAGGCGAAGTCCAGGACCGGCTAAATATCTTACCACTCGCTACCGATGCGTGCCGTCGCCGTGAATAAGACTCAGCGGCGGCGCAGTCGTTAGCGCAACCACGCTAACCACTGCGCCACCGCTCCCCGCGCGCCTTCGCCAGCGCTGTCAGCCGCACCGGGGCACTCACCACGTGCTGAGCGGTGCGGAACACGGCGTCCAGCACCATCAGCTTGTGCGGCTCGGCCACGGAGTCGGGGAGAGGCAGGTACAGGTAGTAGCTGGCGCCCAGCAGCGAGACGGCGGAGAGAAGCGCGTAGAGGCGAGCGGCTCCCATCCTCTGGCCGGGTGACACTCCCTCCTCTCCTCCCGCAGCCGCCGCCGCCGCCGCGAGTGATGGAGCTGGTGATGATGTGGGTTCCAGCAGCCGGGGTGAAAGCGAGTCGCTTGGGGAGTGGGATGGAACGGAGTGGGGAGGGGGAGAGAGAGAGAGAGAGAGGTGTTCAGAGCCGAGCGGGTGAGTGGGAGTGAAGGACGAGAGAGGCGGGGAGCAGATGAGGGAATCAATTAATATAAATTATTGACAAACGTGCCCCCTTAAAATAGCTCAGAGTAAAGGGTGATCGTCCACCGTGGCTTTATCCAAACATTTATGAATTTATGAAAACTATATATAGCCTGGGATAATGTAAGACCATCAAGCTACCCCCCCAATTGGATTGCGTAAAGAACACTAAGTAATAGATGTACTCGCCAAATACAAAATGTTAAATGTTCCATATTATCACGAAACTATTCTAAATTCGCAACGTAAAATAAAAGACTCTTCTGGCAAACGTTCAATTCAGTTGAAAACAATGGAAAACAAAACGTTCCACCAATATAAAAAAAAAACTCTTACTGTAGGACAAAGGAACTGTTCACAAGACGTTGCTGATGGCTTTCACTCTCATTTTGGATCGGCAGGACGTGTCTGTGACAAGACGCACCACCGTCCACATCACTCACTTCTTCCTCCTCCTGTTCCTCAAGCACCAATCCTCAAAATGTTAAGTGAAAGTCATCGTCCCCACCTCTCGCTAAGTCTCATTTCTGAACTGGACGTGCTATATAGACGAGCATCAACGAAGACATCGTCATCCGCGGGCGACGAAGAGTTACCTGCGTTTGAGCTTGTGGCCGTGGCAGATGTGCGTTACGTTGAACTTCTTTCGCAACGTACACAGCCAACCGTGCTGATGGGAGGTGCGGGGGAAGGACAACAAAATGAACACAAAAAAATGATCAACCCCATTGTCAAACTCAATAAACCAAAGACACCGATCGAATTGTATTTTTAAATATTCCAAGAACAAGAGACAAAGCCTTTGCCGTTGCAGCTCCAACATTTCGGGCCAACAACCCCGTTTCCTCCCTTCGCATCGTAAATCTTCCTTCAAAGAATATCCTGAAGCAGAAGATTAGTGCTGGGACACGACCGCACTTGCCAATGTGATTTGTAACTTTCATCTTTACCCGTGTTATCGATAGTTCAATTTAAAAGTGCAATTTTATTGAGAGACTACTCCAGTGTTGTATTGGTGTGGTTTGGGACTTGCTCTTGTTCTGCTGCCTTGCCCAAGCTTGGTAAGTGGACTATCTCTTTTACGTATTTTATGTTTAGTCATTTGCTTACCTTTCCTATGCTGTACTTTGCACTCCGAACGTTTTTTTTGGTATCGTTTATCGTTGTAACTTTCTGACCCGCCCCTACCAAAGAGCTTCATAGCTTATCGGATTTCTCCAGGACAAATACAAAAATTATATGCATTAACTGGGAAGTGCTGGAGATGAATGGGGAGAGAGGGAGAGTGGAGCAAGGGAGAGGGGTTCAGAGTGGGGGACATTGAATCAGAAGATTGGAGCAGGGGGGGTTAAGGCGGGTGAAGGGTGGTCTTAGGGGCTGTATTGTACGTTGAACTTCTTTCGCACCGTACGTAGCCGACCGTGCTAATCAGAGGTGCGGGGAAGGACAACAGACTAAACACAAAAAGCAGTTCTCAAGAAACGAGTCTTCAATCTCGACGATTGAGTGGTTTCCGAATCCAATCCACTTGCTCGCGAAAAGTCTCCTCCACTAGGGGGAGCTCTCGTTGGGCAATTGTTCGACACTCCTACAGAGACCAATGTCCTTGGGAAGAGGTGACCCATTGAAACTGCTGGGTTGGGACAGCACACAACGGTGCAGCGCTGTTTGCAGCTGCCGTGCCGGGGAATCGAACGGGCTCCGTCTGGAATTGCAAGTCCAGCGTTCTAAACCATTGCCAGTGAACAAACAAACCAGATGTTTACATTCAACATGCATCTCTACACTTTTTGATAGTCAAGGAGTTGCAGAGGAAGGATACAAAGGAGCAGTTCCATAGATAAAATAAAATAACACAATAATATTCTGACGACGTTTCGGCCACAACACAAGCGGCCTTCATCATTGTGTTGTGGCCGAAACGTCGTGAGAATATCATTGTGTTTTTTTATTTCATCAATTTATTATTTCATTCTCATTCTACGTGACTTTACCGAAAGAACCAAAGAAGATGAATCCTTGCAGTCACGAAAGCTTTAAATCGAAATTTACAGTTCCATAGAATCAGGGTGTCGAGTGCGACAGCGTGCAGGCAGAGGGGACAAAGACAAAGTTCCCCCATATAGCCTCTAACAGCCTGTTGGGGCAAGTGCTGGGTGGCCAACGCCACGCCCGGCCGCCTTTGTCTCCCCAGTGCTGACGTCTCGCATGCAACGTACCAGGAACTCGCTGACGGCAGAGTCGACCAAAGCGAAGGGCCTCGGACGGTGTTCAGTTACCTACCACTGACGAATCGCGGTGCGCTAACCGCTGCGCCACCGCTCCTCCCACACACGGAAGAGACAGATCCCCTCCACAGAGCGCTGCTGCTGCTACCAAGTTGCTGTTCGCGACTGGCAAAGAGCACCTACGAAGGCCGGCACGGCACACGAAGGGGGGGTGGGTGGTCGGCAACCACGCCCGACCGCCTTTGTCTCCCCGATGGCGATGTTTTTAACGCACCGCACGGGGTACTCGTTCGAGACTGAGTCGACCTAGGGGAGGCCCACGACCGGTTTAGATAATCGTCACTTGGTGTTGGACCGTGAGCAGGAATCGAACTGGGATCGTAGCGCAGCGCGCTAACCACTGCACCACCGCTCCCGACTGCGATACTGTACACTTACAAAGACAAAGATCCCTCGTATAGCCCGCGCAGACTGTAGGGGCAAGTGCGGTTTGACGAGTAGCACCGGCACTGTGGCACACGAGGGGGTGGGTGGCCAGCACCACGCCCGGCCGCCTTTGTCTCCCCAGTGGCGATGTTTACTACACACCGCACCGGGTACTCAGTTTGAGGCTGAGTCCACCTAGGGGAGGTCCAGGACCGGTTCAAATAATCACACACACACACTGGCACACACAGAGACACACACAGAGACACACACTGGCACAGAGACACACACAGAGAGAGACACACACACACTGAGACACACACACAGACACACACAGACATACACACTGAGACACACACACAGAGACACAGAGACACACACTGGCAGAGACACACACAGAGAGACACACACACACAGAGACACACACACACTGAGACACACACACAGACACACACACAGACACACACACAGACACACACACACAGACACACAGACACACACACACTGGCCCACACACACAGACACACAGACACACACACAGTCACACACACTGGCCCACACACACACTGAGACAGACACACAGACACACACACTGAGACACACACACACTGAGACACACACACACACAGACACACACACAGACACACACTGAGACACACACACACAGACACACTGAGACACACACACACTGAGACACACACACACTGAGACACACACACAGACACACACACAGACACACACACACTGAGACACACACACACTGAGACACACAGACACACACAGACACACACACACAGACACACACTGAGACACACACACACACAGACACACACAGTCAGACACACACACACACACTGGCCCACACACACTGAGACACACACACACTGAGACACACAGACACACACAGACACACACACACAGACACACACAGACACACACTGAGACACACACACACAGACACACTGAGACACACACACACTGAGACACACACAGACATACACTGAGACACACACACACTGAGACACACACAGACACACACTGAGACACACACACACTGAGACACACACAGTCACACACTGGCCCACACACACACAGATACACACACACTGAGACACACACACTGAGACACACACAGACACACACTGAGACACACACACACTGAGACACACACAGACACACACTGAGACACACACAGACACACACACAGACACACACTGAGACACACACAGACACACACACTGAGACACACACACACAGTCACACACTGGCCCACACAAGCCCGCGACGCCGCCGCGTAGCGCCACGCACAATGAGAGCGGCCTCGTCAGATTCTTGCGGTTCCAGTTGTGAAGCAGCAGCACGAGGAGGAGGAGGAGCACGAGGAGGAGGAGGAGCAGCAGCAGCAGGAGGAGGATCAGCAGCACGAGGAGGAGGAGCAGGAGGAGGAGCAGCAGCACGAGGAGGAGGAGCAGCAGGGGGAGGAGGAGGAGCAGGAGGAGGAGCAGCAGCAGGGGGAGGAGGAGGAGCAGCAGGAGGAGGAGCAGGAGGAGCAGGAGGGAGGAGCAGGAGGAGGAGGGAGGAGCAGGAGGAGGGAGGAGCAGGAGGAGGGAGGAGCAGGAGGAGGAGCAGGAGGAGGAGCAGGAGGAGGAGCAGGAGGAGGAGCAGGAGGAGGAGCAGGAGGAGGAGCAGGAGGAAGAGGTGCAGGACCAGGAGGAGGAGGAGCAGCACGAGGAAGAGGACCAGGAGGAGGAAGTCGCGGGGCGGTGGCGGGGAGGGGGACCCAGGGACGAAGTGAAGGGCGGCGTCTTGCAGTGAGTAGGGGGAGGAGGTGGAGGATGTGGAGGAGGTGGAGGAGGAATCAGCCCATCATCCCTTCGGGGGTTGTCGCGGGGGAAGTCACCAGCCGTTGTCCGGTGGGATAGACTCGTCCCCGCCAAAGGAATGTGGAGTTTCCGTCACTGGCTGAGGCCTGTAAACAGGAGATGAGCACCACCTCAATGCTCATGTGATAGGGTAACCGTATGAACAAACCAGTAAAACCGGTTACCGGTTTGGCCCACACGTTTACAATAACAAAAGATCCCCCGCATGGCTTGGCCAGTTGCGGCAAGTGCTGTTAGCGAGGCCGGCAACGGCACACGGAGTGGAGTGGTGTGGCCAGCACCACGCCCGGCCGCCTTTGTCTCCCCAGTGGCGGTGTTTTTACACACCGCACCGGGTGCTCATTTGAGACCGAGTCGACCTAGGGGAGGAGGCCCAGGACCGGTTCACACAATGGTCCCTTGGTGTTGGTGGTGACCGTGAGCGGGAATCGAACTCGGGTCGTGGCCGGGTTCGGAGTGCAGCAGCGTGGCTCACCGGCTACACTAACCGCTCCACATACCGTGGACACGCGCGCGTTCCTGTTGACCTCTTGAACCCAGCGACACGGCGATGGTTGTGGTTACCGCAGCGAGCGCACCGGGAGTCGATCTCCGGGCGCGGCAGTTGACACGATGTTGCCACAGCTGTTTCCTTGGCCGACAACCTCGACACGACCCGCACGCGAAACGAATCAGTTACTCTGCAAGCATGCTAGCACGACCAATCGGGAGCTAGAGGGCAATGTTACTCGACCTGACAACGCTATTCTGTTTAAATACACTATGCTAATTTAAACTGTGTATGTAGAATGTACACCCTACACTGCATAATATGTTGTATGCCCTGTGCTACACTGTGTATGCTGTTATACCCTATGTTGTGGTTTGTAATCTGTATGTACATCCTGCACTATGCTAGTGTGTGAGCTGCAATTACAGCCTGTGTTATGCTAGTGTAGTGAGTCCAACTGAGTGGCAGACGTTATCTTGGGAGCAACACTATTTATTCACATAACAGCACGCAACGTAACACAACCTACGCTCAGGTCTCGAATGCCCATCTAGCCACGCTACGGCAGAACTAGACGCGGCTCGCTATCCCGGCCCGGAGCACGAGCTGGGTCCCGGACCGCATGGCTAGAGGCTTCTTCTACCCAACGTGGATCTTCCAACACCAACACTTGAAGAAGAAACCCCAGCTCTTCACGGAGCTCTCGTTACATGGCTCCCGGGCTGGGGCTGGCTCCGCCCTCAGCCCCGCCCACCTTCCAGGCGTCTTGGGCTCCTTCTCGAATGTTCCCGAGAGCCCCTCGGAACCCCGTGACCGCCCCTCGGCCCCCCTCCACCGGTGGCCCCCTCTCCGGAGTGTCATGCCCCAGAGTGACCCTGGCTGGCTGACGCTCGCTCCCTCACTGGGAGCCGGCACCCCACACCGCTCGCGGTGCCTCCGCGCTAACCAGCGCTCACCCAACCACCGCTAGTGTGGGTACTTCAGCCCGCAACCCGGGCTGCCCTTAAACACAACGTTACCGGCCGTGACTTCGCAAGCCCGGCACCATACAGTGCCAAGTACAGTCACTACACTACCGGATTTTCCTGCATATAGCCTGCATACGCATATACCCGCAAAAATAGCGTTATCTGTAAAACAAATTTCAGATAGCCCGCACCTCCATATACCCCGCATGCATTCATATCTTTAACGTCGTTACCACAGCTTAATTCCATCATATTAATACAAAGTTTACATTTGCAATACATTTCACTTTCAATTGTTAACATTAAAATCATAACGTGCACAAAGATAACAAACTAACCGGAAACTAGTGAACTTAAACAGTAAATAAGTAACAAAAGTAAATATCCAATAAATAAGTAACACATAACTGGTAGATAAGTACCGTAAGCGTACTGTTAGGCTTACCAGCATTCGACCTCATCATATTACAGCTACTGGACCGGTAGTTACCCCTGTACAGTTTTAGCACTGGTAGATTCCGCACTGCGCAGACAATATAGCGGCACTACGGTAGCGCCATTGCCTCCTGGCAACAAAGCCATTGGAAGTTTGAAACAAAGCTCATGGTCGTGACTGTATAGTGCTCAGCTAATAGCAGCGGCCTAAGGGACTCAGCAATTATGATTCCGCGTCTGGTGGACGCTTGTTAAGGCCCTTCCCATTGTGCAATAGCCTCAGCTGAAACTTTCACACCCCCCTACAGCCACTCAAAGTATTACGGTAAACAAAGTGCGCCCACTTCAAACATTGTCGTTTCATTGTACAAACAATTTGAATAATTTAAAACGTGATAACATGTGCAATTTTAGTGTGAGTGGTTTATTCAGAAGTGTTGCATAGTGGATAGTCCTACCATGAAAACATTAAACGAGTTATGACATGTCACACGTGGAAACTAATTTTGGGATTGCCCACACCTCCATATACCCCGCAGGGTCTTGTTTTGTTTGTAAAAAGTGGTACACCCCGCGGGCTATATGCCACACTGAGGGAAAAAGTATTTGATCCCTTGCTGATTTTTGAGCGTTTGCCCACTGACAAAGAAATGATCAGTCTATAATTTTAACGGTAGGTTTATTTAAAGTGAGAGACAGAATAACAACAACAAAATCCAGAAAAACGCATGTCAAAAATGTTATAAATTGATTTGCATTTTAATGAGGGAAATAAGTATTTGACCCCCTCTCAATCAGAAAGATTTCTGACTCCCAGGTGTATTTTATACAGGTAACGAGCTGAGATTAGGAGCACACTCTTAAAGGGAGTGCTCCTAATCTCAGCTTGTTACCTGTTTAAAAGACACCTGTCCACAGAAGCAATCAATCAGATTCCAAACTCTCCACCATGGCCAAGACCAAAGAGCTCTCCAAGGATGTCAGGGACAAGATTGTAGACCTACACAAGGCTGGAATGGGCTACAAGACCATTGCCAAGCAGCTTGGTGAGAAGGTGACAACAGTTGGTGCGATTATTCGCAAATGGAAGAAACACAAAAGAACTGTCAATCTCCCTCGGCCTGGGGCTCCATGCAAGATCTCACCTCGTGGAGTTGCAATGATCATGAGAACGGTGAGGAATCAGCCCAGAACTACACGGGAGAATCTTGTCACTGATCTCAAGGCAGCTGGGACTATAGTCACAAAGAAAACAATTGGTAACACACTACGCCGTGAAGGCCTGAAATCCTGCAGCGCCCGCAAGGTCCCCCTGCTCAAGAAAGCACATATACATGCCCGTCTGAAGTTTTCCAATGAACATCTGAATGATTCAGAGGACAACTGGGTGAAAGTGTTGTGGTCAGATGAGACCAAAATGGAGCTCTTTGGCATCAACTCAACTCACCATATTTGGTGGAGGAGGAATGCTGCCTATGACCCCAAGAACACCATCCCCACCGTCAAACATGGAGATGGAAACATTATGCTTTGGGGGTGTTTTTCTGCTAAGAGGACAGGACAACTTCACCGCATCAAAGGGACGATGGACGGGGCCGTGTACCGTCAAATATTGGGTGAGAACCTCCTTCCCTCAGCCAGGGCATTGAAAATGGGTCGTGGATGGGTATTCCAGCATGACAATGACCCAAAACACATGGCCAAGGCAACAAAGGAGTGGCTCAAGAAGAAGCACATTAAGGTCCTGGAGTGGCCTAGCCAGTCTCCAGACCTTAATCCCATAGAAAATCTGTGGAGGGAGCTGAAGGTTCGAGTTGCCAAACGTCAGTCTCGAAGCCTTAATGACTTGGAGAAGATCTGCAAAGAGGAGTGGGACAAAATTCCTCCTGAGATGTGTGCAAACCTGGTGGCCAACTACAAGAAACGTCTGACCTCTGTGATTGCCAACAAGGGTTTTGCCACCAAGTACTAAGTCATGTTTTGCAGAGCGGTCAAATACTTATTTCCCTCATTAAAATGCAAATGAAATGTATAACATTTTTGACATGCGTTTTTCTAGATTTTTTTGTTGTTATTCTGTCTCACTGTTCAAATAAACCTACCATTAAAAATATAGACTTATTATTTCTTTGTCAGTGGACAAACGTGCAAAATCAGCAGGGGATCAAATACTTTTTTCCCTCACTGTACGGCAGTATGCAATCTGTATGTACAGCCTGCTGTAGTGTGTAATCTGAAAGTACAGCCTGTCCTGTGCTGTAGTGTGTAATATGTATGTACCATATAGCCTGCACTTTGCTGTCGTGTCTAAGCTGTATGTACAGCCGGTCCTATGCTGTAGTGTGTAAGCTGTGTGTACAGCCTGCGCTACGCTGTAGTGTAAGCTGTAGTGTGTAAGCTGTAGTGTGTAAGCTGAAGTGTGTAAGCCGTAATGTGTACGCTGTAGTGTGTAAGCTGTAGTGTGTAAGCTATAGTGTGTAAGCTGTAGTGTGTACGCTGTAGTGTGTAAGCTGTAGTGTGTATATTGTAGAGTGTACGTTGTAGTGTGTACAGCCTGCGCTATGCTGTAGTGTGTAAGCTGTAGTGTGTACGCTTTAGTGTGTACGCTGTGTGTGTAAGCTGTAGTGTGTACGCTGTAGTGTGTCCGCTGTAGTGCGTACGCTGTAGTGTGTAAGCTGTAGTGTGTACGCTGTGTGTGTAAGCTGTAGTGTGTATGCTGTAGTGTATACGCTGTGTGTAAGCTGTAGTGTGTATGCTGTAGCGTGTAAGCTGTAGTGTATACGCTGTAAGCTGTAGTGTGTAAGCTGTAGTGTGTACGCTCTAGTGTGTACGCTGTAGTGTGTATGCTGTAGTGTGTAAGCTGTAGTGTGTACGCTGTGTGTGTAAGCTGTAGTGTGTATGCTGTAGTGTGTAAGCTGTAGTGTGTATGCTGTAGTGTGTATGTTGTAGTGTGTAAGCTGTAGTGTGTACGCTGTGTGTGTAAGCTGTAGTGTGTATGCTGTAGTGTGTAAGCTGTAGTGTATACGCTGTGTAAG